TCGTCCAGAGCATTTTGCTTTTTTGTTCAAGTTTCCCCCCCCCCCCTCATCGTTTTTTAAAGAAGAGATTCCTACATCCGGTGGTCCAGCGATGATGGCTAAAAGGAACCGGTTGCACAACTCGTAAACGGTCGTTTAATTCTTTTCGCGTTGATTGTATGCAACTATAAAATGGCCGCGTTATACAATAAAACTCACTTTGTTGTGACTTTTTATAGCACACACCAATCCCTTTCTCCTTAATAAGGTTATCTATACTTTTAATCTTAATTTGTTTCTAGAAAATTTCATTACTGTCTTTAAATATAATAATGTAGTGCTATCGGTTTTATCAGTTGACAGTGAAAAAATTGAGAATGATATTAAGAGAAAGAGAGAGAGAGGGGAAAAAGAAGGTTGGGTAATTTGCGTTGAACATTTCTGATTGGCTCGTAATATTTCCGGAAATTTTACACGAGGTAAGTGACCAAATTATAAGTTACGTTTAATTTTTTGCTTATTCATTGTGAATATGACTTTAAAAATTATGGTATTTTTCAATGCAAACTTACAAATCATTAGGCTGTATCCACAATAAGCTTAATTTATTAGTTTGTTGATGCCCAACCCTGTCACTTTTTGCTGATTGGTTCATTGTGAATATGACTTTATATTTTTCAAGACGTTAATCATTAGGCTGTATCCACAATGAACTCTTTATGTTTCAATTTATTAGTCTGTTGTTACCCAACCGTGTCACAATACAAACTTTTATTAGGCTGTATTTGCAATGGACTTATAATATAGAAATCCATAGTGTCTTTTAGGTTATATTAAAATAAGTTAATAAATAATTAGTAATAATAAACCTGTTTTTTTTCCAAAAAGAAGGGGCTTATTTAAAATCAAAATCGACAATTTTAAAGTTCCGGACAATTTGAATAAAGCGAGATTTAAGTTTGATACACGGGAAAATCAAAGATGGCTGAACGAAGCGTCTTTGGAAACTATCAACTGCAGCACCACATGTACGCTTATGTCCCGTCTTGAAGAGTGTAGGGCATACCTATAGTTAACAAAACCCGGGACCCTGGCGGCTTCCTCCACGTCTGGTCGATACACTGCGGGGTTCCCCACCCCGTTCCTACCCCCAATCCCGGGTCACTGTCTCTCTTCTCCTCTATATAAACCCCTTCCTTTCACATGCCATCTTCACCATCCCTTTACCGCAATTGCAGCCAATCCCTCCATCACCCCACAACAAACTCTCTCTCTCTTTCTCTTTCCAAACCCCCCAATAACCACCCACCCCTTTGGCAGTTGCAGGTGCACCGACTGAATGATCGTTTATCGATACGCAGACCACGATGGCGGCGGCGAGTGGCGACCTACACGCATTACACATTTATAAAGGCGCTAAACATGAGCTGCATAGTGTATACACCCTAGCCACCCCTTTTCAAAGCAAGTTTCTCTCTCTCTCTCTCTCTCTCTCTCTCTCTCTCTCTCTCTACCTTCCCAACCCTTTCCTTTGAGAACCGTTTTTGCCACGATAGAGATGGTCGATTGGTAGCGGGAGTTTGTACAACGTCAATGTTACGACTGGGACATCCGCCTCCATTATTTCACCCCCCCCCTCCCCCCGCACATTTTCTATCTATCTCACTCTTCCTTCCCCTTTCCTCCCCCCAAAAAGTGCCCGCGGAATACACGGCAACTACCGCCCGATATACAGGAATTCCAATGTACAACCGATACTTATCGATATGTGTTTCCGGTTTACTATTCACATGTTACTGGAATTTCTACCACAACCCTTAACCTCTCGATCACTGTGTGTGTTTTTTTTTTTTTTTATCTCGCTCGTTCTATGGCAAGCATCCACCACAATTCTGAAACCCCAAACACTTCCGGAGCCAGTGTATCAATTTTTAACGGGACCTCGGGATTTATCGGTGTTTATATTCCACTCGGCAAAATGGGGTCTTGGAGGGAAGTGAGATCTTGGCTACTTTCGAATGGAAGTTGCGGTATTCGGTTGGATTTTATAGCTATATATGGAAAGGGGATGAAGGAGATCTGAGGTTTGACCTTTCGTGAATGATTGACGAAAGCTCAAACATTGGGAGAATTTTGAATTGGATTTTCAAATCCACTGGGGGGAGGTTATAGGAAGGCGTTAATTGATTGATAATGGGATTTTGATGGATTTCAAAATAAGTGTATAATAAGGAACTAAAAAAAATTTATTTCTTGTTTTTCATCTAATGATTTAAAAAGTTTTGTAAATAATTGAAAATAAACTCAACATCCAGATAACACGTAAGCTTCAAATCTCCCACCTGATCCAAGCTTGCAGTGTAAGGTTGCTGCAAGATTGCAGTGTCAGGTTACTGTAAGATTGCAATGTAAGGTTACTGCAAGATTGTTTAGTAAACTTGGAGAAAGGTTGGTAGCAAGCTTTGAACCTAAAGAAAGAACAAAATTTTATGTTTAAAGTAAGGTTATTTGGCAACATGGAACCAAACTTACTACAAGCTTACCGTGCAGGCTTACTGAGCAATCTTGCGATAATCTTATTGTGCAACCTTACACTGCAATCTTTCGGTAAGTTTACCATGCAAGCTTGGGTCATGTGGGACATTTAAAGCTTGCAGTAAGCTTGCGGCAAGTTTGCCGTGCAAGGTTGGCAATATTGCGCGTCAAGCTTTCCGCAAGATAGCTGCAAGCTTACGTGCTATTTGGGAAATTAATGAAAACATGTGACATAGATGGAAGTCGTTTAATCGTATAGCAGAAAAAGTAACCAACAATAAATTTTTAGGTTATATTTTTAAATTAGCAAAATATTTAATTTTGGGCTAATATTATAACAAATTATGAACATTTTATTTTATATTTTAATTTTATTTTTAAAAAATCCTAATTTATATTCTTATTTATAATATAACAAAATTAAAACAATCATGTTTACATGAGGTCCAATATTTTGAAGAGAATTTAAAACCCTCGTCTTATCACTATACAAGATAGCGATGAGTAAAACTTGTTGAAAACTGGTTTTCCAAGGCATTAATTAACCTCCTTTAAGATCAGATTATCATCTTGAATAGTATACGCCTGTCAGAGTCTAACTTCCTTGAAATTTGCATTTGTGTCTCCAACGACAGAAGTCTATTAACAAATTCCAAGCCCAAGAGCATCTTTAATCTCAGGTTGATAATAAATTTATATATATATATATATATATCATAACCTTACACTACCTTCGATTTTAACATATTAATACATAATTATATTTACCAGACATTTATTATTTTAATCTAAAATAGTGTTGAGTGGGATATATTTACGAAATATTCATATATTTTTAAAAAAAAATTATTTAGACGATATTGAGGGAAAAATTAATTTCATTGTAATTTTAAACTATTTCTGCATATAGGCAATTGTTTTCGAATTTAAAAAAAAAATTTAATAAAATTAAAAACACTGAACAAAAAAGGAATTTTAATATATATTAAAATTTTGTTTTAAATTACATTTTAATATGAAAACATTTACTTTTCCACCTCAATAATTAGAATACAGGAGATGCTGATAATAATGATTGCAAGATATGCTGATTATCCTTAATTATTAATAATAATTGATTAGTTAAATAATAATAAAATTTCGAAAAAAATTTCTCATAAAGAATGAGCTTTAACTGTAAATGATATACATTTAGCAATGGTGTGTTGAGATATACATATATATATGGAGTGAGAGAGAAAATGAGATGCAAGGGAGATGAGAAAAGGTGAAATCGCTATCCTCGCATCATTTCTGCTCCGTTAAATGCGTTAACGATCCGAACTTTTAGTTGCGCGGGTAGAATTTGCAACTGCATAAGAGATACTTATTTCTCTTTTAACATATAGCCACCCCTTTGCAATATGCATTTTTTGTAACTCCAATTTATAGTAGCTTTTAAAAATATTTCTGTTTTCATCTATAACCAACAAAGTTGAATACAAAAAATTTACACGAATAATTTAAAAACAAGAATTAAAACTGATGTTTTTATTTTTTTGTTCACAACTTTTAATGTATTTTAAAACAGATTTTCATTGTTCTTTAAAAATAATACACTAATTAAGTGTGTAAAAAATAATTCAAAACATTTAAAAAAGATAGTTACCGACTGTTGGTAAAGAAGAAACATCTTTTATCTTCAGTTGGTATAGCAGATTGGTATTTGAATAATAGAAAGAATTTTATTGTTTAGAAATAATAGATTAAGTGTGAAATAAAGAAAATATTTCAATATCCCTTTTAAAAAAGTTTGTTACCGACTATTGGTAAAAAAAGGAACCTTTCTTATCTGCAATTGTTATAGCAGAATGATATTTAAATTAAAATAAGAATTCGACATTTCTTTGTCCTTTTTGGAATAATAGAAAAATTCTTTATCTACATTAAAAGGAAATTTAATTAATACAATAAATTGAATGTTAATTATTAATTGTGTGTAGTATTAACGATTTTAAAATGTTGTCACCGTTTTTTTTAATTTAAAACAGAGGAATAAACAAAATAAGACAATTTTCGAAGGGGAGTTAATCAGAGATTAAACTTGAAGGGGTAGGTAGTGATATCCCCATAGGTGCTTTACCAAGCAGGCGCATTGTCAGCCTATTACAATAGGCAGCCCTCCTATAAACGTTTCATTGTTACCCACCTTGAACCTCCTATTCTTCCACCCTCTCAGTCACTTTCTGCCCATGCGTCGATGCGCACAAACCATTGTTTTACCCGCAAGAGGAACATCCCTCTGCTAAATATCAATACGCAATTCTTTGCCCAACTTTCATTCAAATCCCAGAATACATATACACTATATTATACTGTTGGAAATAGCAAACTATTAATTAATCTACTATAATTATTAATTAATTTATTGAGAAAAATAATTATATATATATTTTAGTTTACACAAATAAAATCTAGTTTCAACTATATATATATATATATGTTTCTTCTCTTATATTCTACTGAGCATTGAAAATAACCGTCTTTTCATGTCGATCCATGGCAATTTGCTTAATGCGTTCCCAAAGCATTGGATAGGGATGAATCGTTCTTGAGAAATCAGCCCTTTCAAGTCGATAAAGCTCACAGACTTCAACGGCAACAACGCTGGCGATTCTCTTCTCGTCCGGCATTACAAGGGCAATTTCGCCAAAATGTGCGCCATCCTCGAGATGACAAACTTCCTTTCCTGAAGCCGTATAAACCGCCACCGTTCCCGTTGCTATGAAATACATACAATCACCAGGTGTATTGGCTCTGACAATAACGTCATTTGTTAAAAAAATTTCCGATTTCAATAGTGCAACTATTCTTGCCAATAATGTTAATGGAATATTATTGAAGAATGGTACATTTTCCACTAATTTTCTACACGAGTGCATTCTAATTTCCTGACGCATTTGACTCGAAAGTGTATTGAGAATCTCAGCCTCTCGAAAATATTGATGTTGAAATCTATTAAGAAAAAAATTCAAAATTGATTTTTGAATCTTTGGTGGGAAAAAAAAAAATCTAAATTACAAACCGAAATTCATAATAAGCCAAGAATCTCCTCTGAGTCTTGCGTGGTAATTGTTTATATCGCATGTACTGTTGCAATTCACCAATTGCCGCTTGATACTTGAGCCTTGAACTATTGGCACTTTGGAAGTATTGCATAATTCTGGCAATCATAATACAAAGAACAAAAGTACCCAGCAATTGAAAAACAATAATTAGATACTGATCCTCTCCGGTAAAAGCTTCCTCCTTTTGAAATCCACATCTAGTGAATGTCGCTATCACTCTAATGAAACACTGATAATATTTTTCAGAATTTCCTTCGTTCCAAAGATTAGAGAAATTTATCCATGAGTCTTTGTGAGGTTGTTTCAAAATTGATAGTGAAGTGACTGCAATTGGAATTATCCAAAATAAACATGCTTGCCAGTGAATAAGAATAGTGGCCCAGAAGAAAAAATTGAATATTTCATAAGACATTCGATGAAAATCGTACGCTAGGGCGAAGATACGAATGTAGGAATAAATACTGAAGATGCGAAATATCACCAGAAGGGAACAATATTCACGAAGAATGATCATTTTATCCCATGTGATGATAAAAAAGAGATCTGTTGGAAAGGAACTGATCAAATCTGGAATTAATGTTCCTGGGTAGATGTAGTGACGAATACGCCTTGATTTCTCCATCACAACTATTCTTTGGGTTTCATCAAAATATCTATAAATTTAGTAGTCATGAATCAATGGAGCCTATCATTATTTACCTACAAATATGTGACGCTCCACAAGAGAAGGGACCTAACGTGCTTTTGACTTAAGGTTCGCTTTTACCGTGCAATGACACAGTGAATGAACCTTAAGTCAAAAGCACGTTAGGTCCCTTCTCTCGTGGAGCGTTACATACAATGAATAAACTGTGAAAGTATCATCCTAATATTTTTTTCAAACGAGAGAAAAAATAATTAAAAACAATGTTAGAGAAAAAAAATCTTGAATACAGTAGAGAGCTGTAAATTAAAATAAAATATACAATAAGTACTGTAATTAGATATGTGAAATTTTTTTATTTAAGGTTATGTGACTGTTAGGTCTGTAATGTTAATTTGTCCGTAATTTTTCTCGTAAAATATTGCATGTATTGAATTGAAATTTTGTGCAGGGGTTCTAAATATGATAAGGAATGGTTGTCAAGTGCTAAAATATTGATATATTGTTGAATAATTATTATAAAAAACTTGCAAATAGTTATAAAATTTGGGGTTCGGAGTGTCGAATTTCCAAAAAAATTGTATGCCTTTTATTATATTTATTTAACAATATATCCTCTTGCTGTCGGTATAGTAGAGTTCTTATCACTTTTAAGAAAACTTTTTTTTAAAATTAAATTGCAATTATTTTAAACTGTGCTCGATAAATAACAAAATAATTTAATAAAATTTGCAATTTCTATTAAATATAAATTATTTTTTCACACATTTTACACTAATTTCTTGAAAATATTATGAAAACTGACAACGAGTTAAAATCTACAGTTACCACTTGCACATATCAAGTGATTATTTATTATTTATCACGTTAATAATTAAAATTCTTACAAAAATTAACTCTATAAATGTTCATTTAACCTCACAATACTAATTTTTATAAATTTTCATCAATTTAAAGCTTTTTTTTGATAATTACCTAAATTCGACTTAGATTCGACTTAGATTCGCCCCAGCTGGGTCGAATTTAGGTAAATCAAATCCGCCAGGGCTAACAGTCACATGACCTTAAATAAATCAGAACATAACGTTAGCAACAATGTTTCTTAATAAAAAAATCTTAAAATTTTTCAACATTTTCTATGATAATTTTTATCGCATTTTACCGGCATTTTAAAGGTTAAAAAAAAAGGAAAAAAATGTAAATAATTTGATAAAACATTAGCTCAAAATCAAATATTTTGCTGATTAAAAAACATAACCTAAAAAATTGAGTTTTGTCTTTTTCGTCTCATCTACACTGATAGAAATAACTGCTTAATACTACCAGAATTATTTGTACGCTTACCATACAAAATGATTGAAATAGATACAGCCATACGTGATGGCTTTATTTTAACCAAAAATGAAAAATCTAAAGAGCAATGCGAATATTGGCATGCTCATCATTGTGAATTAACCTTATACACTTTGACATATTTTCGTGGCAAGATCTACCAACCTGTTTCTATCAGTGTAATATGCCACATATATCAGTTTTCATTAATCGTTGAATTCATTTTCAATTAATTACAACACTTTTTAAATCATTAAATGAAAAACTATTACCTTCAAAGCCAACATATGAAGAGAATTCTGAATGTTCTTAATGAATTCATTTGATACGATCAAGAAGACAAAAGAGACGATATAAAATAGGTTAGTCAACAACTTTGGGTAGTCTAGAGGATCCTTTATGTTTACAAATTAATTCGGCTACTCTCCCACGGTCAGGGTTGTGCAGTTACGTGTAACTCGAGGTTGTTAACATTGTTTACGTAAAATAAGTAATTTACGTAGAAAACTGTAAAAAATTCGGGTAATTTACATCAGGGATGGGTAAATGTAACAAACTCGAGGTTTTCTATGTATGTTACATGGTTTGTTACAGAGGTAAAATACGTATGTTACCCCCCACCACCGAAAAAAACCCCTTTTTCAGGCCTGTTCTTATTTGATTGATTATTGTTTATTCTTGTGGCCTGCCTAGTGCCTGTGATTGTTATAAATTAATTAAAATACAACAAATTTAAAATGGCTCCAAAAAAAAGAAGTTCAATTCCATACAAGGACTTGAACTTTGAGCGCACAAAATTAGATAATAAAACCGTGATAAATTGTTTAATTTGTAAAACTGAAATGAAAAATGTTTGTCTTGAACGGTATTTTTTAATAGGTGTTGACATACTAAGCAAAGTGCTTCGTATTGTCCATTTGTTTTAATCATTTTAAAATTTAAATTGTCCCAAGATGAGTGTTTGGGCCTGCCGCCTCTGTTCATTTTAAATGGTTTTTATTTTACAATTTTTCACCAAAGCTTCACAACAGGTTCACAAATCACGTGTTAGCAGGGTTTTGAGGTTATATTATTGCCCATGATTCGGCTTCCCGTTTCGATTGCGGTGACGATTCATAAGAGGATGTAAATTACGTACGTAGAAAACTGTAGACGTAATTTACTAGGTATTATACGTGTAAAGAACATACGGAGATTACTTTAGGTAATTTACGTACCCAACCTTGTCCACGGTAGTTAGTACCAAGGTTCGGTAGTTAAACGCTACAATGGAACAGCAGACGAATTATTTTGTAAACATAAGGGATCCTCTAGACTACCCAACCCTGTCGACTGAACTACTTCGCATTGTATATCTTATTGGCTTTGAAGAGATAATAATTTTTCAATTAATGATTTAAAAAGTGTTGTAATTATAATATTATAATATATATTAATATAATATAATAATGAATGAGAATAATTAATTATTTTATTAAAAAATTTATAAATTAAAATTCGTATTTGTAAAAACTCACCCCGTCATTAAGTTGACAAAAATATCACAGCACAAAATAAAGTATAGAGCATTTTTTGACAATGTCCAATAAATATTAACACTGGAAATATTAAAAGCCACATGATATGGGAAAATTATGAAACAAATTATCATAACAATTATCATCAAAATATTCCACCAGTACCTGAAAAAAAAAATCTCAATTTTTAGCATCTTTCTTTCTTTAAGGCCAGGTCCAAGTGAGGCAGCGCCATCTACATTGAAACTAAAATTTTGGAAAATTTTCAACAGCCTTTTCTTGAAAACAAGATGGTAAAATGCTTTTTCCTTTATAGATAATTGATTATTGGCAAGATATACACCAGCTAAAACTTTTTTTGAGTTAAAATAATAAAAAAAATTTCATGTCAATAAATTAAATATGAGCACTTTTTTAACAAAAACTGTAACAGTACTTTCTCTGAAATTACAATCAAAAATGCAATTTCCATTTGGAAAATTAATAAACGCTAAAAAATACACGACCTAAGATTTACCAATCACGAAAATAACAAAAAAAAAGTATTTTAACATAACATATATATTTTACTCATTATGACAGCCGTTTGGCAGGTTATATATGTCACCAGACGTTTCGCAGTTTTGCCGAAAGGAGGAGATTGGCGCTGTTGCTAACCACCTGAAATACATAATCTACCAAAGGGCTGTCACAATCAGTAAAGCAGTATCAATATGTTAAATATTTAATAAAATTTTTTTTTGTTATTTTCGTGATTGGTAAATCTTAGGTCGTGTATTTTTTAGCGTTTATTAATTTTCCAAATGGAAATTGCATTTTTGATTGTAATTTCTGAGAAAGTACTGTTACAGTTTTTGTGAAAAAAGTGCTCATATTTAATTTATTGACATGAAATTTTTTTTATTATTTTAACTCAAAAAAAGTTTTAGCTGGTGTATATCTTGCCAATAATCAATTATCCATAAAGGAAAAAGCATTTTACCATCTTGTTTTCAAGAAAAGGCTGTTGAAAATTTTCCAAAATTTTAGTATCAATGTAGATGGCGCTGCCTCACTTGGACCTGGCCTTAAATATATATGTATAAAAATAAAACTATATACCTGAATAAACTAAAAGGATGAATAACTTCTTTAAAATTTCGCAAATGTCTTTGTTTCTCATAACTGATGGAATAATTACTTCGTAAATATTTTCGTGCCGAGGGAGATTTTTTTGATGCCATAATAAATTGACGAAAATAATCAAGTATTTTTCTAAATGGTCCACGACCCGGAAGAAATAGAAGATCATCTTGTTTAACATTAATCTCACAATCGTGATCGACGCGTAACATATTTGGGGAAATTTTTTTTTTTTTTTTTAATTATACTCTTATTTGAAAAATTAACCTCTCTAAGATCGTTCTGACAATTCGTTATTGTATTAACAATTTTATAAACTATTATGAAGTTTGTACAAAACAATTGAATTTTTGTCACAAAATTTTATAGAAATAATATTAAAAAAATATATTTTTTTTTTAACTTCAGAATTTTTTTTTGTTTGTGAATTTAAAATAAATTTAATAATAATAATTGTTGATTAAATTAATATAAGTTATTTTCTTAATTTATTAATTATTATCTTTTGCATTAATCATAAATCAGTATTGTACCGACATCTGTATGATTTTCACGAAACTTTTTCACTTCTTCTTTATCATATCGATTAAATTTTTATTAATTTTATTATAAAAATTTTTACATAATAAAAATTTTTTCAAATTAATATTATTAATTAATTTAATAAATGGAAAAAAATGATTTTCTTGAAATTTATAAGGAGAAATTACTCCAATGGTAATAAAAAATTATCGATATCCACTGTCGATAATATTACTTCATGTTGGTTAAAACGATGAAGAAAAATCTCTAATTACCGATTGAAGATTGAAATTCAAATTTTCCAAATGTTAATAATTTACAAAAAAAAAAACATTTTATTGTGTACGTGACATTAAATTAGTGATAAGAAAGAATATCAGATAAAATTATTCTTTATATGTGCATATATTAATTATTATTCATTAAATAGATAATTTTTTAAAAATAAAAGCTATCAAAATTGTATCTTATTAAATGTTTTTTTTATTATTTAAATAATGATTCGAAAATTTCAATCTTCTCTTTTGTTAAAGGTGCTACATTGTTTGTTGCTTAACAACTTTTTGTCACATTTTTAAATAATGAAAAAAAAAATAATTAAAATTTGAAATACATTATAAAGAAATTAAACTATATATTCATGGAAGAATTTTCTTTTTTTTTTGATATTTGATATTGTTCAAAATCATATTAATTGACAGATCATAAATTAATTCTACGAATTTGGTATATAACATAAGGAATTGTAAATTTAAAAAATAGTTCTAAAAGAGTTTTCATTTGAAAGAAGTAAGAAAAAAAAAATTAAAAATGAAAACCAAATTGTTGTTTCTATGCCTTTTTATTTATTTTTTCACTCAAGTTGATTCTCAATTTCGAAGTAAATCAAAGGCAAAAGGTAAATGATAAAATTTATTCTATAAATAATTCAAAAAAGGCAAATTTTTTTTGCCAAAAAAAAATATAAAATGGAAAAAAATTATTTTTCTTTTATTATTTCTTTCCATTTTTAAGTTCACTGTGCTTTATTGGGAATAGACGAAATTTATCAAGAAACAGTAGAAACAGAATGTCAAGTACGAATTCGTTATGGAATAAATGACATTAGAGGAAATCAACAACCAGCTATTTGTCTTGAACGTCGATGGTACTGTGAAGATGGAAATCAATAATTTTTATATAATATTTTAATTTATTATTTATCTTAATTTATTTAATTAATAATAATAGTAATTTATTGAATTTAATAAATTTTAAATAATTTTAAGTTTTTGAATAAAATTTCAAAGGGTAGAAAAATAAATAAAATTTTTATTTAAAAAAAAAATGGTTCAAGAAAAATATTTTTGTATTGAAATACTTGTTAAATAAAGTAATTATAATTATTTTATAATAATAAAATAATAATAATAAAATAATAATAATAAAATTATTGAACTATCAAATAAAAAATTATAAATAATTTTATTTTTAATTTAATTTTCTAAAACAAAAATTTCATAAAATTTAATTTATATGATTTAACAAAATTTATTGATTACATTTTGTAGAAAAATATAATAATTAAAAATAATTATTGAAAAATTTAAAAAAACAAATAAATTTACATGAATAATGAAATTCTACTTTTCTCTCTAATTGAAACATGTTTCGTTCATAGAAAGAATGTCAGACACGTGAATTTTAATTACAGTTAAACGACTTTTATCAAACTTCTGTGTATTATATTGAAAAATAGATATATTGTTTTTGTTTTCGTTTCGATTTCTATTAATACTCTTCAATTTCATTGTTATTAGCAAAAGAAAGTATTTAAATCAAAATTTTTTAAAAATATATATTTCAAATTTTTATTCAATATTTTCTTAATTAATTAATATTTTAATATTTATAATTTTAGATTTTTTTTTAAAATTATGCATTGTTACTTGAAAAATTAATTTCTTATTTTATCAAAAATTAATGTTTATGAAAATTAAAAAGAAAACTTTTATTTTTGTTTAATAAAATTAAAAAAAAAACCAGTTTTGATTCATATAATTTTTTAAATAAAATCAAGAAAAATAATGATTAATTAATTTTTAAAAAATAATACTTTAAATAAATTTTAAAATAATTTTTAGTCATTTAAATAAATTTTTGAATAATTTTTAGTATTTTAAATCAATTTTTAAATAATTTTTAATAATGGAAATAAATTTTTGAATAATTTTTAATAATAATAATTTAAATAAATTTTAAAATAATTTTAAATTAATTTTTAATAATGTAAGCAATAATTAAATAAATTTTTTGTCGAGATAAGAATATTTTTTCAAATTGATATAATATATCCTGTAATCTGTAATATTTTTTTAAAAATTCAACTATTTTTTAAACTAATTTTCAATTAAGAAATTTTATTAAAAAATTTTAATAAAAAATAATTTTAATTAAATTTTATCATCACAATAAAATTTTTATTTTTTATAAATTAAATTTAAAAAATTAAATTTTTATTATATTTTTAAAAATTCAACTATTTTTTAAACTAATTTTCAATTAAGAAATTTCATTAAAAAATTTTAATAAAAAATAATTTTAATTAAATTTTATCATCACAATAAAATTTTTATTTTTTATAAATTAAATTTAAAACATTTTTAAATTAAATTTTTATTATTTTTTTTTTTAATTTTTGTTATTAAAATTGTCAGTTTAGATAAAAATCACAATTTTTTTCTATTTTAACAATTTAATTCTTGGAATTTTTTTCAAAATTAAATTTTTCAAATCAATTTCAGAAATTTTTTTCTATTTTACTAATATTTAAATTTTTATAATAATTATTATTGATAGAGGAAATTACTGTAACTAACATCAGTTGTGCCGGGTAAAAATTAAATAATTTATTTATTCAAACTTTGCATACAAAAATTAGTTTTACATTCAAGTGTTAATATTAGTGTAAATTGGAAATAAAAAAAAAATATATATTTCAGTCTTTGTTTACATTGCCAGTTGTTCATACAGTCTTAAATATTTTTTAAAATAAATTATATAAAAAAAAAAAAATTGCACTAAATAATATTGTCGTAGCACTTGAATTATTTAGAAATTTTTCAGCGTAAAGCCTCGTCAAAATGTTGTCTTTTGAATAAATCAAATTATTGCGAATTTGTAGCACTTTCCATGACGTTATTGCTAACGTGTTGTTCATCTTGGCTCAAACTTGGAGTTTTTTCCTCATTTTCCTTTTTTACTGGTTCACTTGTCTGTTGAATTTCACTTTGAGCTTCTACTTTCTCATTCACGGCATTAACATGGCTTTGTTCTGAATGTTGATTTTGAATTTGACTCTCTGGAATCAGTGGTTTTTGTTCTTGCTTATTAATTACAATAATAGGTTTTGCCACATTATCGGCAGTTTTCACTTTTGAAGAATCGTTATTTTCAGTTATTGTCACAATTTTCCCGGGTTTTACATTAATATTATTATCGACAATTTTTACTGAATTTTCCTGGTGCTTGTTTGGCAAGTTGAAAACCTGGCTCTGACTGGGCTCTTGAATGGGATAGCTGACAAAATTAACCAAAAAACGACTGGGTTGTTGGTAGAAATAGTCTTGAGTTGCTTCTGGTTTTACTAAAAAGGTTTCAGCTTGGCCCTGAGTGGGTTGTTGGCTGGTTAAAGAGTTTTGAAGTAATGTATAGTATTGCTGATTTACATCAGGGATTTGAATGGGTTGTTGGTTCCAAATCCAGGTTGTATATTGGGGCTGGCTTGGCTGCGGTTGGTTTAGAATCCAGACTCCATTTTGGCTCAAACTAGGTTGCTGAACGTGTTGTTGATTGGCCTCTAGCTTGGGTACAATTTGATTATGGATTGGTTGGCTCATAAACCAAGTTGAATCTTGGCTCAAACTAGGCTGCTGCTGATTGACGATGGGTTTTTCTGCACTAACCTCCACTTCGGGTGCATTTTGATTCTGACTTGATTGTTGGTTCCCAAACAAGGCTGAACCTTGGCTCAAACTAGGCTGTTGTTGATTGCTGACAGGATTTTGCTGACTAACCTCCACTTCGGGTGCATTTTGGTTTTGACTTGATTGTTGGTTCCCAAACCAGGCTGAATCTTGGCTCAAACTAGGCTGCTGCTGATTGACGACGGGTTTTTCTGCACTAACCTCCACTTCGGGTGCATTTTGGTTCTGACTTGATTGTTGATTCCCAAACCAGGCTGAACCTTGGCTCAAACTAGGCTGTTGCTGATTGCTGACAGGATTTTGCTGACTAACCTTCAACTGGGGTACATTTTGGTTCTGGCTTGGTTGTTGACTCGTAAACCAGGTTGTACCTTGGCTCAAACTTGGCTGCTGAGTAAAAATGATGTATGGTTGTCTAACCTCGAGTTTTGGTGCATTTTGGTTTTGGCTTGGTGGTTGATTCATGAACCAGGTTGCACCTTGGCTCAAAATGGGCTGCTGCTGATCGGTGACAATGTTTTGAGTACTAGCCTGTTTGGTTTCTACTTGGTTCTGGCTTGATTGTTGACTCGTAATCCAGGTTGCATCTTGGCTGAAGCTAGGCTGCAGACTGGTGACAAAATTTGGTTGACTTGGCTGATTGACAACATAAGTTTGTTGACCTTGATAATTGCAGAATGTATACCAGCATGTGAATGATTGTCCTGACACAACCAGTGCAAGACTTAGCAGCAAAAGCTGGCTAGCAACTGAAACAAATAAAAAAAATACACAATTACTGATAGTTACATATTTTTAATTTCAAGTAATTTAAAAATTTTTAATTCTTAATTTTTAATTTTAATTTAAAACTTCTAATATTAATTTCTAACAATTAATAGATTTGATGTTTAATATTTAAAAAAAAAATCATTTACTACAAACAGTAACTGTAGATAAATTAATATTTCTAATTTGTGAAATAATATTTTCATTAAAGTTAATTTTTGTGTAAAAGGAGAAAAATAAATATAAAAGTTAACAATTCCTTAAATTCGATAATTAATTATAATTAATAATTAAATTGTAATGATTATTCATTAAAAATTATTAATAATTACAAAATATCCAATATTAAGTATAAATGAATTAAAATGAGGAATGTTTTAATTATAAAATTAATAATTATAAAAATTATAAGACTAATTTTATGATTTTTATTTATTAAAGAATAAATTAAATTCAAATTACTCACATAATCGCATTTTAATTGATGTATAATCCTTAAGCAAATTTTCAAAACTCCTAACACCACAAGCACTATTGGAAAATTAAATAAGTTCTGAACTTGAAATAAAGTTTAGAGGTGCTATCTATACTTCGACTATTGTCAATATTAAATTCCGGGGAAAAATAAACACCTATACATATAAATCTTCGTAATCGTCCTCATTATATTGTCATCAATTTTTCACATTCTAGCGTAGTATACCATAAAACTAAAGTATTTACCAATCAGGGGCGGATTATTATACAAAAAGATTTGTCTTTTTCCTAATTTTTTTATAAACATTTTATTTACTTTAACAATTTAATAATATTAATAATTTATAATTTCGCTTCGAATTCGTTCATTAAGTATTAAATTTTGTGATTTTTTTTTTAAATTTAAATATTTTATTTAGTAACTCTGTTAATACATATAATTAACAAAAAATTTAATTTTTTATTTATTATAAATTTTTTAACTAAAATTTTGTTTTTCAACTTAAATTTTATTTCAATTTACATAATAACAATAATAATAATAATAATAATAATAAAAACAATAATATATAATGAATGAATGAACATTAATATAGCAATTTATTTATACGTAACTAAATAAAATAAATAATTTTTTTTAATGTTCAAAATTTAAATAGTTCATAAAATAGGTAAAATTAAAAAAAAATTTATTTGATAATTTGGACATTATTTTTCGTTGTTTTTATATCTTTCAAATCGAAATTATACTAAAATTAATTTAATTCTAATATTTAGGTACTAAGATTAATTTTGTTTTTGGGAAAAATCAAAATAAACTTTCAAATAGACTGAGGACAAAATTTCTATATTCCATGAATATTCAAAATACATAATAAGAAATCGACCCAAGAAAAATTAATTTCTTGTAAAATTCAATATAATTTTTTTTTTTATTTTCCTAACAATTTAAAAAATTATATTTTACGTAATATTATATGATTTTAAAAAAAATTGGTATTTATGTTTTCATTATTTTTTTCTATTTCTGTTTATAAATATTTATATATTTATAAAATTATATGTCTAAAACATTGGCTCTTTAAATAATTTATAATTAATAATATAATATGTTCCAACATTAGAAATAATTAAATTAATAAATTAGTTATTATTACTTTATAATATCATAAATTCTATTTAAATATAAAAGAAATAAAAGAAAAAAAATAAAAAAAAAGGTATAAAATATAAGAAATAAATATATTATATTTTATGTGTAATGTATTTTATTAAAAAATAAGACTTATTATAAATAGGGTCAGCCGGGGTAAATCCGAACGGTGGGTAAATCCGAACGCTAATTATTTCAGCTTAATTAAAATTTTTAAAAATAAGTTCGATATGAGAATTTTTACCTCAGATCCTCTTCGAGAGATTCTAAGTATTATCCCATTTTTCGTTTGTTAATTAGCAACAGCATAAACAAAGATAAAGAGTATTGCAAAAAAGATTGAAAATCAAAGATGACACTCTTTCAGTATTTTGTCTCGTATTTCAAGAAAAAGAAGCTAAAAATTCATTTTATTATTTATAATTGTTTGTTATGAATACTAGAACAGAAACTATTTTTCATTTTTGCCTTCTGTCAAATTTTATTAATAATATCAGTATTTACCCAGGAAAATTAGAAAACCGGGGTAAATCCGAACGGTATTTTCAATAATTTTTTTTTACATCAGAGCCACACAAAATTGTTTTTATTTCATTACACTATTATTTTAACATTATAAAAGTACATAGAAAAAAGTTTTTCTTTCTATACGTATCCTCGTTAGTAATTAATAAGCAGAAACTTAATCTCTGTTCTCTCGAAGGAGTGTTTCAATTTTTTTGCCAAATGGTTTGTTGAAAAAAGTTTTTCAGGATCTTAATAAAATTTGGTATTCTACGGTTTTTGGGGTCGCTAATTACCAATTTGAAGTCAGTTTTTCAAAATTCAAAATGGCGGACGAGTCCTTAATAATATGATTTAAAATATTTTTAAATTGTTTAATTTAAAAAAATACTTTTTCAATTACAAATAAAATTTTATTTAGAATAAAAAAATTTTGTTTAAATCAATTAAATTCTCTTCAACTATTTTAAACATGAAATATAAGCATTAAATATTTATAAAATCAATTAATTTAATATAAAATTTATTTTATATTACCTAATTGCGGATAAAGGATAGAAATAAAAAAAACTTAAATTTTTGCATTATAAATTATTTAATTTTATAATAATAATAATAATAATAATAATTTATACAGTTGTTTAAAAAAAATCGATATGACAATACAAATTCAAAATATAAAAATATTCAAATTTTATTTTACAAGTTTGGCAGTTTTCTGTTAATAATTTTATGTACATACTTATTTTTAATATAGAAAAAAAAATTTTAACTTTATATTTAAAAAAATATTGTCTCTAAAAGAATTTTTTTATATTTCTTTCAAGGAAATAGTATAAATTGTCGCAAATACTTTATATACATTTTTCAGTCGATAAACGTCGTCAAATTAGGAGGGTCAACAAATTTTAGTAAAATTTTTTTACGACATTAAGAAATTTCTTTCCACTTTTGTAAATTTAGTAGTAATCAATGAAACCATCTTCATTTTGCCTTCTACAAGTTGGATAACATGGTGCATAATAAACTGGATAGTATACAGTTGGAACGTATGTAACTGGTGGACAATACCAATAATAATCGCCTATGTCATCGAAATAATAATACACCCTTCTTTTTACTTTCCTACATTCATAAGATTCTTCACAATCATCTAATAGTTCATATTTAGCATATAATTTACATGATGTTTTATTATTGCATTGAGACGTTCTTCTCCTTCTTATTGCTGTCGCATTCAGCACAAGTGCCAACACTAAGATAAGTACCAAACCTGAAACAATAATTGAGGGAAAAATATAATTAATTTTTAATTATTTTTTCAAATAAATATAGGTATATTAAAAAATGTTGAATTTCTTTTAAAAAAAAATTTTTTTTACACTTTCATGACCAAAATTGTATGAAAAATTATTTATCATTTATCTTTTTTGGGGGGGGGGAAGTATAAATATTTTAATTAATTTGAAATTAAAAAAATTTACATATGTAATAATATAAATAAAAAATTATATATTTATAAAATGATAAAAGTTATACATAATACTTACTTGTACGCATTTTTAGAATTTGTAGAAAAAAGAAATGAGACCCTCAACTTTGAAAAGTATGTACTAAGTGAAATGAATGAGAAATTAGAGAAAGTACTTTCCTTTTATAAACTGTGTAAATCCCTCTCTTCTCCCTTATTTTATCGCACAAAAACAATAAATACCTATTAGGGCGCACTCACATCTCTGGCAGCCTCCCACCACGCAGAAAACGTACAAGAGTAAGAGAGACAGAAAATTCAAATTTAAATCTACTGACTCTCTGATTGGCTGCCTGCACAGGCAGGTGAGGTGTGAGTGCGGCCTTAGGAATATAATTTGCGGGAGTGAGAATATACCCAACAAATCATTTTATACAAAAACAAATTTTTTATTCCTAAATTAAGAATAAAAAATCTCAAATTATTATTTTAACAATTATTTAAACAAATTTTTGTTAAATTATTATTATTATTATTAGCTATTAATATTATATGTAAAATTTTTCTCTATAAAAAAAATTAAGAGAACAAAATTTATCTCGCTTAAATGAAATTTTAGAACCTAAGTGTATTAGGATTTTAATTTTTATTTTTAATCACCTATTTTTTTTCCATAAATTTTATTATCGTATTAAATAGGTCATTAAAAATAGAAACTAAAATCCTAATACACTTAGGTTCCAAAATTTCATTTAAAAGCGAGATATTAAAAAAATTCGACTTCATCCCGTACATTTCTTATTTTTGTTTGTGCACCCCTTAAGGCACTCTCACACCTTTTTAGCTGCCTGCAGGTTACCATGGCAACGCATGAGAGTGAGTGCGACAGAAAATTTAAAAATTTGAATATTCAAATTTTCTGTCTCACTCACACTCGTGCGTTGCCATGGTAACCTGCAGGCAGGCAAGCAGCCAAAAAGGTGTGAGAGTGCCTTTAATCGCCATTTTGGATTTCCCCCCACCCAACTTGAACAACCTAATTTTAAAATCTTAACGCGCATACTCCAACCCATGCAAGGTTAGATTACTTTTTCGAAATTTATTCTATTGTTAATTGTAAATTAATGTATATATTATTCTTCCATTTTTATAAAGTTATATTTATAATGTTCAATTTTTATATAGATTTTGAAAATTACGACAAAAATATTTTTTATACATAATATCATTTTTAAGAAAAATTTCAAAATCTGTTTTCATTTTTTCCGAACAAAAGGTTAAGAAAAATTTCGAAACTCTGTTCGATTTTTTCAGCAACGCCTTAAGGCCAGGTCCAAGTGAGGCAGCGCCATCTACATTGAAACTAAAATTTTGGAAAATTTTCAACAGCCTTTTCTTGAAAACAAGATGGTAAAATGCTTTTTCCTTTATAGATAATTGATTATTGGCAAGATATACACCAGCTAAAACTTTTTTTGAGTTAAAATAATAAAAAAAATTTCATGTCAATAAATTAAATATGAGCACTTTTTTCACAAAAACTGTAACAGTACTTTCTCAGAAATTACAATCAAAAATGCAATTTCCATTTGGAAAATTAATAAACGCTAAAAAATACACGACCTAAGATTTATCAATCACGAAAATAATAAAAAAAAGTATTTTAACATAACATATTTTACTCATTATGACAGCTGTTTGGCAGGTTATATATGTCACCAGACGTTTCGCAGTTTTGCCGAAAGGAGGAGATTGGCGCTGTTGCTAACCACCTGAAATACATAATCTACCAAAGGGCTGTCACAATCAGTAAAGCAGTATCAATATGTTAAATATTTAATAAAATTTTTTTTTGTAATTTTCGTGATTGGTAAATCTTAGGTCGTGTATTTTTTAGCGTTTATTAATTTTCCAAATGGAAATTGCATTTTTGATTGTAATTTCTGAGAAAGTACTGTTACAGTTTTTGTGAAAAAAGTGCTCATATTTAATTTATTGACATGAAATTTTTTTTATTATTTTAACTCAAAAAAAGTTTTAGCTGGTGTATATCTTGTCAATAATCAATTATCCATAAAGGAAAAAGCATTTTACCTTCTTGTTTTCAAGAAAAGGCTGTTGAAAATTTTCCAAAATATTAGTTTCAATGTAGATGGCGCTGCCTCACTTGGACCTGGCCTGATGGATGCTCGGTTTGATACTAGAAGTTTAATAATTTATTTTCCTAACATGTGTCAAATTTGCCGTATTTTTGGCAATAATGGAAATAAGGCAATTAGGGTCAACTGGGGTAAATCCGAACGCTTTTAGTAAGTTTCAACAATAACATAAGTTTTTTCTTTAAAAAAAAAATACTTCCGGTATTCTGGTGCATGAAGTTGTTACTTTACTTCCATAGAACAATTTTATGGGGTAGAAAAAATTTTTGATAAATTACAATCGCAGGAAACTTAGCGTTCGTATTTACCTCGATACTTTGCAACTTTCCTAAAATATGGGGGTAAATACGAACGCCACTGTATTTCAGAAAAATCTTAGGGAAAATAAATTTAAAGTATTGCAATTGTTAAACTTATATAAAAACTCAAAAAAATACGATAATAAACCTATTATGTAATAATGCATCATATATAAATACAAAAATCAAACAGGTTAAAAATTAACATGCATTACACAATTAAAACCTACAATAACTTTATCAAATCATAACGGATTTTTGCAAAACTTGCTACAGAAAGTATTTTGGAGTGATTGAATGTAAATACAAAAATAAAAGTGAAATTTTTTAAATTCAAAATGGCGGACTTTCCTAAAACTTATTTTTAAAAATGATCAAATTTGCTAACCCTGAAACCCCCCGAGTAACAATTTTCGAGCGAATCCAATGAATTTTTTAATTCTCGTCCGCCATTTTGAATTTTGAAAAACTGACTTCAAATTGGTAATTAGCGACCCCAAAAACCGTAGAATACCAAATTTTATTAAGATCCTGAAAAACTTTTTTCAACAAACCATTTGGCAGAAAAATTGAAACACTCCTTCGAGAGAACAGAGATTAAGTTTCTGCTTATTAATTGCTAACGAGGATACGTATAGAAAGAAAAACTTTTTTCTATGTACTTTTATAATGTTAAAATAATAGTGTAATCAAATAAAAACAATTTTGTGTGGCTTTGATGTAAAAAAAAATTATTAAAAATACCGTTCGGATTTACCCCAGTTTTCCAATTTTCTTGGGTAAATACGAACGGTCTGATATTATTAATAAAATTTTACAGAAGGCAAAAATCAAATATAGTTTCTGTTCTAGTATTCATAACAAACAATTATAAATAATAAAATGAATTTTTAGCTTCTTTTTCTTCAAATACGAGACAAAATACTGAAAGAGTGTCATCTTTGATTTTCAATCTTTTTTGCAATACTTGTTATCTTTGTTTATCCTGTTGCTAATTAACAAACGAAAAATGGGATAATACTTAGAATCTCTTCAAGAGGATCTGAGGTAAAAATTCTCATATCGAACTTATTTTTAAAAATTTTAATTAAGCTGAAATAATTAGCGTTCGGATTTACCCCCCGTTCGGATTTACCCCGACTGACCCTAATTTAAAAAGATTGCAGTGCTTGCAAAATGATTTCTTATTGCTGTATAAAGAACATCAAAAACAAGATTGGTCGAGTCATAAAAATTTTTGTAAAACTTTATGTCAAATTCTAAATGAATGGAAAACAGTTAATTTATTTGAAATATTAAAAACAATTAATGAAGAAAATATTTGAAATTTTTTTGAGCTTCATTACGAAAGAACAGCTTTTCAATTATTGTTAAGTATAAAATTCGTCCAAAATCCCTATTGGAAATTCCTTTAGCCATTCCATTGACTTTCGAATAAAAGTCGTTGCGATCAAATTTTTAAAAAATCTAATATCCTGACGCGGTGAAAGGAACCTTATGGTACAATAGCAAATTGTACTTTTGAATGTTCATAATAAACAATGAATTGAACAAAATAATTTCTAGTTTTTGGAAATGAAAGAGCAACTCAAATAATTTGATTTCCAAAAATTAGAAATTATTTTGTTCAATTCATTTTTTATTATGAACATTTAAAGTACAATTTGCAATTGGACTTATTTAAATACTTATTTAATTATTTGAAGATAATTTAACTCAATTATGTAAAAGTAATAATTTATTTTTAAAAACACAATTTTAAAATATAATTCCATTTAACATAAATATAATATAAAAGAAATGTATTAGAAATTTTAATTTTAAAATAAAATTTTTGTTTTTTAATTGAACCTTTAATAATAAATAAAATTTCAATTTATATTTTTTGTTTCCATTTTGGAAAATAATGATTATTTTTCATTTTTATTTTCTTCAGCTGCATAATAGCTAATAAAACGTGCTGATGGATCTGAAATACCTTCAATCCATTTAGGCATCCAAAAGTATGGTGTAAAACTCTCTCCATGATTAGGAAAATGCTTTTCAAATATTTTTCTGTAATTTTGTTAATTTTTATAAATTTTTTAATATATTTTATTATTTTTACTTATCAATGATTAGAATTATCGTTTCTTTATAATTACCTGTAATAAAGAGCCTCTTTTGTATTTGGTGTACAATGGGGATATAAATTTTTAGCTTCCAGTAATTCATTATCATTTACATGCTTATCAACAATGCTTTGAATAATTTGAAATAAAGATTTTTTAGTTGAAGTAACACCATCACTAAATGCTTCCTTGTGCCGCCATAAAATATTGTTTGGTAGTAAATTTGATTCCATAAATGCAGATCGAAGTAAATGTTTTTCAATACCGTCTAAAGATAAATATATTTTTTTTTAATCAATAATATGAATTTTTATGACGAATATATAAGTTAGTTAGATATTACCTTGCGGTTGTCTGGTAGATGAATTTAATGATAGATAATAATTGGTAAATTGAAGATCTAAAAATGGTACACGAAGTTCTAGACTGAAAGCACTTGTTGTTCTATCGGCTCTTAGGCCGTCATACAAATAAATATCTTTCAATAAACGAATTGATTCATTGTGAGCCTCTTCTGCATTTGGTGCTTTTTTAAAATAAATATAACCTTGAGCCAATTCATCAGCACCTTCACCGCTAAAAATCACAGTTGAGTCTGTCTGTGTTTTCACATATCTCGATAATAAATACATTCTGAAATATTAAGTACAATTTGCAAATTATTTATTTACGAATTTTTTAATATAAAACGACAAAAAAAATATATACCCAATAGAAGCGCGAATTGTTGTAATATCGAATGTTTCAATTTGATAAATAACTTTATCCAATACTTCTTCAACATCTTCTTCAGTGAAAATTATTTCATGATGCTCGGTGCCAATTAATTCAGCAACCTTTAAAATTATGAATAAAATATGTTAATTTCCAATTATCTAATTTATTTAAAAGTTTTAATAGTAATTTTCATTTTACTTGTTTAGCAGCTCTAATATCGGGACTATCACCCATTCCAATGGCAAAACTTTGTAATTTATAGGGTAAATTTAATTTTTTAGCTTCAGATGCAAATAGAGCTGCAATTAAACTTGAATCTAATCCTCCTGATAAAAAGCAACCAATTCTTCTTTCAGACATTAAACGCTTTTGCACAGCTCCTGTTAATAATTTTCTGATATTTCCAGAAATATCATTGGAATCTAGATCTGTGAATAAAAAAAAAAAATTAAGATTCAAAAAATATATTACAAATTTGATTTAAATAAATGAAATAAATTAAAAAGAAATAAAATTTTGTTACTATCATTCTTTACATGTTGGAAAAATTAGTATCAAATTTAACCTTTTACTCACTCAAGTATGAGATTTGATAAGTATAATCTACTTGATAAATTGGCAATGTAGATGTACAATTTACAACAAATATTTATTTTCTTATTCTAACAAAAATTATTAACAAAAAATTAATTTATAATTAATTTAAAAAAAAAAAAAAATTATTTCCTCATACCATTCCATGGAATAAATGTTGAAAATGAAGGCTTATCTCCTGGTTTATGAAATTGTACACGTCTCAAAAGCTTTGTTGTACCTTCTTCAGATAATTCATATTCTTCATAAAAACCAGGTGAAAATGGTTTCAGTACCCAATCGCTTGGGAATTTTTCAGTTATTCCAACTAAACCCTATTAATATATTTTTTTTTATATATTGAATTGAAACTTACAATTTTCAGTGAGTATTAAAAAAAACAAATTTGTAAAAAAAAAAATGTACCTTTGACTCGGAACATATACCCAAACGTCCTTTTCCATCCTTCAATATAAATAACGGTCTTACACCGTATGGATCTCTGGCAATTAAAATTCTCTTCTTTTTAATGTCTACTAAACAAAAAGCAAATACCCCATCTAATGAACGAGCAACATTTTCAGCACCATCATTTACATAAAGATGTATAATCACTTCCACATCGCAGTTTGTTTTATTTTTATAATCATTTTCTTTTTCCAGCTAAAATGAAATTTTAGAAAATTAACAATTTCACGAATTAATATTATTATAATTCAATCGTTATAGGGTCAGCCGGGGTAAATCCGAACGGGGGGTAAATCCGAACGCTAATTATTTCAGCTTAATTAAAATTTTTAAAAATAAGTTCGATATGAGAATTTTTACCTCAGATCCTCTTCAAGAGATTCTAAGTATTATCCCATTTTTCGTTTGTTAATTAGCAACAGCATAAACAAAAATAACGAGTATTGCAAAAAAGATTGAAAATCAAAGATGACACTCTTTCAGTATTTTGTCTCGTATTTCAAGAAAAAGAAGCTAAAAATTCATTTTATTATTTATAATTGTTTGTTATGAATACTAGAACAGAAACTATTTTTCATTTTTGCCTTCTGTAAAATTTTATCAATAATATCAGACCGTTCGTATTTACCCAGGAAAATTGGAAAACCGGGGTAAATCCGAACGGTATTTTCAATCATTTTTTTTTACATCAGAGCCACACAAAATTGTTTTTATTTCATTACACTATTATTGTAACATTATAAAAGTACATAGAAAAAAGTTTTTCTTTCTATACGTATCCTCGTTAGTAATTAATAAGCAGAAACTTAATCTCTGTTCTCTCGAAGGAGTGTTTCAATTTTTTTGCCAAATGGTTTGTTGAAAAAAGTTTTTCAGGATCTTAATAAAATTTGGTATTCTACGGTTTTTGGGGTCGCTAATTACCAATTTGAAGTCAGTTTTTCAAAATTCAAAATGGCGGACGAGAATTAAAAAATTCATTGGATTCGCTCGAAAATTGTTACTCGGGGGGTTTCAGGGTTAGCAAATTTGATCATTTTTAAAAATAAGTTTTAGGAAAGTCCGCCATTTTGAATTTAAAAAATTTCACTTTTATTTTTGTATTTACATTCAATCACTCCAAAATACTTTCTGTAGCAAGTTTTGCAAAAATCCGTTATGATTTGATAAAGTTATTGAAGGTTTTAATTGTGTAATGCATTTTAATTTTTAACCTGTTTGATTTTTGTATTTATATATGATGCATTATTACATAATAGGTTTATTATCGTATTTTTTTTGAGTTTTTATATAAGTTTAACAATTGCAATACTTTAAATTTATTTTCCCTAAGATTTTTCTGAAATACAGTGGCGTTCGTATTTACCCCGGTATTTTAGGAAAGTTGCAAAGTATCGAGGTAAATACGAACGCTAAGTTTCCTGCGATTGTAATTTATCAAAAATTTTTGCTACCCCATAAAATTGTTCTATGGAAGTAAAGTAACAACTTCATGCACCAGAATACCGGAAGTATTTTTTTTTTAAAGAAAAAACTTATGTTATTGTTGAAATTTACTAAAAGCGTTCGGATTTACCCCGGTTGACCCTACCTGTTTATAATTATATATTTCTCCATTGCATAGTAAAAAAACTTGTGGATAAGTATATAATTTCATGGGCTGCATTCCACAAAGGCCATCAACTATTGATAATCTATGAAAGCCAATATATCCATTCTGTAAAAGAATTATTGATGAATTAATGTAGATTGAAAAAAGAATTTGAATAAATTTAAAAAAAAAAAAAAAATTGACTTTTTTTTACCTTAATGCGTTGATCATATTCAATATTAAATGCATCTGGACCACGATGAGTTATTTTTGTAAAATTTTCACATGCACACGCAAGGGTATCTCCCTCCAAACCAAAAAGAGCCCAAATACCACACATGATTTTTGAATTTTTTAATAATTTACTTTAACAGAAAAAAAAGTCATGGATTGAAAATTCACTATTTTCACAACGAATTTTTATCCTTTAAATGCCGAAAAGTTTGATTTTATTAAAAAAAACACACAATTAATAATTTAAAGGAAACTTACACAGATCTTATTTTCTACAATATAAGATTATATTAATAATTTGTCAAAAAACTTATTTTTAAAAAATCGTATTTCCGACGTATTGAATTTTCCTCAAAATGTAGAATTGAAACAAATTTTCTTTTGACATATAATACTCTGGCACATAAAAAAAACTATTTTAAGATTAATTTTTGAAAAATTTGTTGAATCAAATATGGATGATTTCGGACGTAACGTACAATTTCATATACGTCGCGATTTTTTTTTTATAAATATTAGATAGGGTTCAAAATTAAATAACTAAAAAAAAAAAAAAAAATTTCGAAAAAATTAGTGTATTTTTACTATTTGAACTATATAAAATTCAGTTTGCCACGTATGTTATAAAATTTATTTCTCAATTAGCGATTAAAATTCTTTGTTTTGATGTTTTTTCACACATCTATGCAATAATTGCTCTTATGTCAGAATTAATACACAACTTATTCTTTTAGCATATATGTATATGCAAATATAAATATACACACACAAACTCAATCCACGTGGCAGCATTAAAAACAATGTGCGAAATATAACCTCTTTTATTTCTTAAACATACCTTTATAATATTTTCAATGAGAATAAAAACTATTATTTTATTATTAAAAATTATGGTAAAAATGGTTTTAAAAATTTTGTTAGAAAGTTAAAAATTTTGAAATTCACTAAACATAAAAAATAAAAAAAAGAAGAATTAGAATTTATCTTGTCTCACCTTATACACAACACTATATAATTTTAATATGGGAGTATTCTAATATGAATTTAAAATCAGTCGGTAAAAACATAATCTACAATAGTAGTTTGAATGAAAAGTAATTTTTATTTAATAAATTGACATCAAATAATTTATTTTTTCTCTTGGCAGTCGTTTTAGTAACAAGACTATACTGTGTATGTATTTTTTTCGATTATCAACGGCCAGGCATTTATAATTATAGAGGATTTACATTAAATGACCCCTGACAGTTGAAAAACATACCTACGAGAAGACACGCGTCATTTTTATATAAAATCCTATTTCTCTTTAAGTTCCTAGCCCCTTGTGATCGAAATAAAAGACATACAATTTTTTTTTTGGAAAATCCGACACTCCTAACCCCACATTTTTTAACTATTTTCAAGAGTTTTATAATAATTATTTAAGCAATATATCAACATTTTCGCACTTGACAACCATTCCTTATTATATTTGGAATAAAATTTCAACTCAATCCATTCAATATTTTACGAGAAAAGTTACGGACAAATTAACCTTACAGACCTAACAGTCACATATAATCTTAATTCGGAACTTCTTTTATTAGGCCTAAGCAGAATGAAATCTCTAATCGTAAATCTTAAGCTTTTACATGAGAGAGAAAAGGATAGAAATATCTTTTGTCCTTTTCTCTCTCATGTAAAAGCTTAAGATTTACCTAAAAGTTTTTTTTTTTAATTTTTTTTAGAAATTTCACTTTTTAAGAAAATTAAAATTTGTCAAATATTGATTGTACAGAAACGTGGAAAAAAAGGACAAAAAAATAATAGGTATAGCGAATGAAAAATCATAGAAATTATATGATGGAAGTTTAAATTTTTTATGATTTAGCATCCCTGGCGGATTCGATTTGCGTAATGTCTACTTAACTAAGTGGACTTTAGGTAGACATTAGGTAAACATGTAAAAAAACGTATAAAAAAGCTATTAATCGACTTATTATGATAAAAAAAAGTTGATAAAAGGGTAAATGAATATTTACAGAGTAAATTCGTACAAAAATTGTAATTAATAAAGCATTAAATAATTAATAATGAATGGAAATGTGCGCGAGGTACCTGATCAGTTCAGCTGTACAATTATTTTCGTGCTATTTTCATGAAAAGAATATAAATTAACGGCAAAAACAATTGATATTTATAAAAAAGTGTAAAATTGATTTAATTTTATTGTTTGCAATACGAATTATTAAATAATAATTAAGTTTTTATCAAATGTGAATAGTGTTGTGAAAACCTGTGAAAACTAATGAGTTACTACATTACCGATCGCATATGAGAGATGGCGCCACCAGTTTTTACAATACAGTGCGAGCATGTTTTCTTCCAAGCTTTTGCTTTGAAAGAAAATAAAAAGTGAATTTTAAAATGCAGAATAAAGTTATACAAATAATTATTGATTTCATAATTGTTTCTCGTCCAAAATTACGGACATGATTGCAGCTTTTTTGTTACACTCATCGAGAACTTTTTATTATCATATGCGATCGGTAATGTAGTAACTCATTAGTTTTCACAGGTTTTCACAACACTATTCACATTTGATAAAAACTTAATTATTATTTAATAATTCGTATTGCAAACAATAAAATTAAATCAATTTTACACTTTTTTATAAATATCAATTGTTTTTGCAGTTAATTTATATTCTTTTCATGAAAATAGCACGAAAATAATTGTACAGCTGAACTGATCAGGTACCTCGCGCACATTTCCATTCATTATTAATTATTTAATGCTTTATTAATTACAATTTTTGTACGAATTTACTCTATAAACATTCATTTACCCTTTTATCAACTTTTTTTTATCATAATAAGTCGATTAATAGCTTTTTTATACGTTTTTTACATGTTTACCTAATGTCTACCTAAAGTCCACTTAGTTAAGTAGACATTACGCAAATCGAATCCGCCAGGGATAATTATATAATAATAAAATGCTTGGTCTGTCCTTCTGTCCTAACTTGAAGTTGGCCTTTTCTGATTTCACGTGTTTTTTTTAATAGTAATCTTATGACGTGTCAAATTTTGACAATTCTTTTTCTCATTTTTGCCAAAGTTGTATAAGAGGTAAAATTCCTGAACTGTCACAGGTCCAAAAATGAAGTCTACGGGATCGAGCCAAGATTTTCAGGGATTGTTGTCCTATTGTATAGATCTTCGAATACCAAGTATTGTGAAGTTTTATCAAAACCTGTAGGATGTGGAGGGGGTTGAAATTTCCCACTTTTGATGAACACTCACCTTTTCAAGCCTTTGTAACTTTTTTCCTTTTTGTCGTACAAAAATTTCACTAGAAGGTTTTTTTTAGGTTTTTTTACGTACATTTTGATAAAAATTATTAATTTGAAAAAAAAAATTTTTTTGACCCTTTTTTTGCAAAAATAAAAATAAATTTGTATTTTTCTCGACAAGAGGTATTTTTAATTTTTTTTTAAATATTTTCATTCGAAAGCTGAGATTTTTTCCGATAAAATATGTAATTTCCAGGAGGGCGTTTTTTTTTTTCTTCGAGTAATGAAAAAAAGAGTAAAGAGGTGCACCAAGTATCTCGCGCAACTGATGTGACGCGACATCTGTTTATTCATTGGTATATACAGCATAACTTTACGCTAATAAATTTCATGAAACATTATTGTTTCTCTACTTAATTAATATAATATGTGATTAAGAATATCATATTTTGTTGTATTTTAATAATTGAACAAAACTCATAACGACTAACTGGATTCACTAAAAGAGTTTTGTCAGGTTTTGTCACTCAAAATGTTTTAGTTATATAATATATTTTATTTACTATTTTATATTTTTCTAAATTGAGTTAATATTTCGTTCATACCAATTGAGAGTCATTTATAACGTTTAAAAGATTCATGTTTTCGTGAATGTTATAACATGTAGAACATATAGTCCATTCCAAGTTTCTATAAGGCAAGAGTATCTACACAGGAAAAAATAAGTTTTGTTTCAAACCCGAAAAGAAGCTAGTTTCAATATGGGACACAAACTAGACCGAATATAGTTTCTAACTCGCTCATAGCATAAGTCTTACTTTAAGCCTACTGTAGGGGCTAACAATAAGCTGCCTTTTGAAATAGAAAGTAGCCACAAGCCCGAAACTGGGCTTAAATCAAACCACTGCGCGGTATAAAAATTAGCTAACATAACCTAAACTTTTATGAAACCTGTCAACACCATATTATTGAAATTTTACACAAGTTTTGAAACATCAAACAATATTTTATTGATATAAATCATACTTTATATTATAAAACATATAGAGACCAATTTATTTTTGTATACAATTTATATATTTTTATATTTGTGAGAAAATTGTAATAAAATTATGTTGTATATATAACATTATTTTCACACTCATAACAATTAAAGCTGAATTTATAGGACACAAACAATTCATGATATGAAAATGTTTTATAAACATAGTTTTTAAATTTTTTATACAGGAATGAAGATGTGAGTCTTTTGAATTAATTATCATTTAGTTCCGATTAACTATAGACGCGTCACATTTGTGGAAAGGCGTCCATGACACTTTACACTCGGGCACTTTTGTTGTACATCTAGTTACAACTCACTAGTATCTAGACCTCATGGGCTTGATTGAAGACTTTTAACGTCTCATTTCTAGCGAATAAAATTTTGTATTGAGTCCAAGACCACAAAGGCTTGTTTTGAATCTAATAGAACTAAATATTTGTCATATTAATATCTCGTTTTTCATTAAGACCTTAACGGCTTATTTTTAAACCATTATTTGTGATTGATATTAGTTATCAAGTTTAAAGTTTCATTAACTTAGATCCTTGTATATAAAAAAATTTAAAAGTACAGAAGTTCGTACAATTATCGTATTAATAATAATACTTTCATAAAATTTAAAAAATCTTCTTAATCACATATTATATTATTTAAGTAGAGAAACAATAATGTTTCATGAAATTTATTAGCGTAAAGTTATGCTGTATATACCAATGAATAAACAGATGTCGCGTCACATCAGTTGCGCGAGATACTTGGTGCACCTCTTTACTCTTTTTTTCATTACTCGAAGAAAAAAAAAAACGCCCTCCTGGAAATTACATATTTCATCGGAAAAAATCTCAGCTTTCGAATAAAAATATTTAAAAAAAAATTAAAAATACCTCTTGTCGAGAAAAATACAAATTTATTTTTATTTTTGCAAAAAAAGGGTCAAAAAATTTTTTTTTTTCAAATTAATAATTTTTATCATAATGTACGTAAAAAAACCTAAAAAAAACCTTCTAATGAAATTTTTGCACGACAAAAAGGAAAAAAGTTACAAAGGCTTGAAAAGGTGAGTGTTCATCAAAAGTGGGAAATTTCAACCCCCTCCACATCCTACAGGTTTTGATAAAACTTCACAATACTTGGTATTCGAAGATCTATCCAATAGGACAACAATCCCTGAAAATCTTGGCTCGATCCCGTAGACTTCATTTTTGGACCTGTGACAGTTCAGGAATTTTACCTCATAATTGTGTTTCCAAATTTCGGAATAAGTTTCTTTAAAATTCCAAATTCCAAAATTCAATTCACGAAGCTCAAGTACACAACGTTTACCAACGAAATTTTTTTTAAAGTTGTATATTCATTCAAAAATTGTATACAAATACAAAAAATTTATGAGAAAAAAGATGCGCCAGGAAATTTCGTACAAGATAGTAATTTGAAAAAAATTTATTTTTAAAAATTAATTTCTAAGGTACCAGGGGCCAACGAATACCTATTAAATATTAATTATAAAAACACAGGCCTCGAATCAACTTAAAGACACAAAAAGTCGTTTTAGTCGATTTATATTCCAAAAAAAAGTGGATTTGTTTTTTATTTTAACAAAAATATTTTACAGATTTTTAAATAAAAATTTTTTTGTTTTAATAATAATCCTTTTCGATGGGTTAAAGTTGAAATTTTTAGAAATAATTAATTTCAAAAGATATTGTTAATTTTCAAACAATTATTAAATTTTACAGAACTAAAAATAATTTATCAAACAATTTTTGTAAAACATTTTTTAAATTTAATTGAATTTTCAAAGATTTAAAATTGAAATTTTTGAAATTAATTGAAACTTTAAGTGTTTTGTAATTAAAATTTTAGATGATTTCACTAAAAATTTATTAGAAAATGCGGACAAAATACAATAATTTGAAAATCATTTTCAATTGAAAAATGGTTTCAGATAGTTGAAATTTCAAAGAATATTATTAAATTAGTTAAAAATAATTGAATTTCCTTAGAGTTATAATTGAAATTATTAAATTTCAAAAAAAAAAATTTTCGATGGAAAAATTTAGAAATAATTAAATTTTAGATGCTTTTAAATTCAAATTATTGAAAATTCAATTAATTTTAAATTCAAATTTTTGAGAATAATGAAATTTTATTTGATTTTAAATTTGGAAAATAATTGAATTTTAGTTAATTTTGAATTGAAAATTTTGGTAAATAATTGAATTTTAATTGAAATTTTGGATAATTATTTAATTTAAGTTCATTTTTGATTGAAAATTTGGATAATTAATTTTGAATAGAAATTTTAGAAAATAATTGAATTTTATTTCATTTAAAATTGAAAACTTGGTAAATAATTAAATTTTAAATTGAAAATTTTGGATAATTATTGGATTTTTAATTGATTTTGAATTAAAATTTCGGGTAATAATTGAATTTTAGTTTATATTGAATTAAAATTTTTTAAAAATAATTCAATTTTATTATGATATTTTTTTTTTAAATTATAAACAATTGTTAAATTTCATAAAAATTTTAATTGAAAACTAATTTTGATATAATTGAATTTGTGATGTATTTCATTAAAATTATTAAAAATAATTAATTTAGTGAAGAATCATTTTAGTTCAAAATTTGTTAAATAATTGAATTGAAGAAGATCTGAAGATCTACATTTTATACTAAAAAAAGATATTTTATTTACATTTTTTTTCAAATGTAAAAAAAAGAATGTCGCATTTTATTAAAATATGTCGATAAAAGTCGTATTTTTGAAAAAGGTCGGAAAAAGTCGTATAATCCGAGGCCTGTAAAACATATAATTTTCAACATATAAATATAATATATATTTTTTTAAACGGATGAATATGAATGAAAAAAGGGAATTAAAAATGTAACTGTAATTTAAATTATAATTGTTTTATTGAAATACTAAATGGTTTGCCATTCTAAAAAGTAAAGTAAATTTCCATTTTTAATAATAATACAAATTTAAACTTAAGTTTAAATTTTTTCGAAATTTCAAGATTAATTAAATAAAAACCTTATTAAAACTTATATAAAATGTAATATCAACCTTTTTTTATAATTTTAAATTCTATACATATAAATATCGATATAATTAAATAAAATACACAAAAGAGACTATCGTTTAGTTGCAAATTCACAACATTCTAACTGATGACGATAACTATTTTAACCGTCAAAAAGTATAATTTTTCAATAGAGTAAAAATATTTATTTTATAATTAACTGAGCTAACTTTTGATTTTTGACGATTGTCTGTTTTTTGTTATAAAATAGTTTAACTATTTTTGCTTTAAAAAGAAAACAAAAGAGCAATTATAATAACAATGTGTCCTTAAAACTTTCATATTTTTTAAACTTTAAATTCATATATAATTTTTGCGCAATAATCTCCATCATCATCTTCTTGTTTATTATTATTATTATTCGTTATTTGTACTTTCTTGATTTCAAGACAAATGTGTGGATAATTATCGACTAATTGAACAAATGAATGCGTTCCCTCTAATGCTTTTAAATGTAAAACCAAACATTTTAAAGATTTTTGTTTTAAATCGAAAATTGAAAACATTTCTGCAAGTTTAAGTGTTTCTATAACTGTTTCTGAAGATAAATTTTTACACAAACTATTGATGCACATTGTTTTAAGTTTTTCGAGCTGATATTTTTCTGCTGCATAATATAGTGCTGCAGCTGATTCTTTCAAGTCATTCACTTTATCGGTATAAATAAAACGAAGCATTTTTTGAAAAATTGTTGATTTTATATCCTCAATTTTAACAATTGAAGTGAGTTCCTCAGTCATTTTGATTTGAAACATTGCTGCAAATACTGGACTTCGAAGAATGAGAATTATTTTATGAGCATTGAATTCTTTGTCCTCTACTTTAAAAGTGACATCTTTAAAAGTTTGATCGTCAAAAAAAAATTCTATTTGATTTAAAAGATTGTCTGCTCTTACAGAACGAGTCAATGGCTTTGGAATAATATTATTTATCGAATCAAAAACATTAAGTTTACAAACTAATTTAATCTTCTTTTCTTGCATTTTATTCCATTGTAATGCTTGAAATAAGAAAGATCCTGTTTCATTACAAATTATTTTAGCACTTCCATTCACCATATTACAAAAAAAATGATGTCCTATTCCTGCAGCATTTAAAATAGAATATTGACATTTTACAATTTTTTTAAAGTTAGTTGTGTTGCATAAATGAATGTTAAACATCTCATTGTTGTATTCTTTTAATTCCACGGGATACAATTTAAAATACCATTGAACATCATTTTTTGTTGAAGGAAATCTTGGAGATTCAAATATTTTCATTGTCTTACATATTAAATCAAAATCTTCGATGATCCAGTTAAATTTATACTGACGAAATTTTAGTCGTGAAATATATTCTTCTTCCTCGTCATCAATAAGCATTGGTGTCACATTTTCAATGTCCGACATAATTATTAACCTAAAATTTAATGATAGAATATTAAATGGATTATTGCTCTGAGATTTTGTGAAGATATCTAAAATATTATGATGAAGAACGACTGTTAGGGGTAAACGGTACAGTGATTGCCAGTATAAGCAAAAAGGGGATATATTTATACAAATTACAAATGTTTAATTATCGAAATGAGAAATGAAACCATTTGTAAAGGAATTAAAATATTCCATTAATCTGAAAATAATAATGAATTGTTTATTTAATATTAGTATAAATTTAAAAAAAATAAAAAATCTTCACATGACAGAAAAAATAGTGATTGTCATTATTTATATACAGTGATTGACCATCAATTTTACAATGATTGCCCACTAGACATAAAATAGTAATGTAAATTATAAATTTTGCATAATTTATTAAAGAATGAATATAATTTGAAATTAATAAAGAAGATGAAGTAATTTTTAAAATAATTTTCTTTTATTAACAATAATAAGATTCATTAAATATGACTTTTAAGTGTAAATAATACTATTAACCTAAAAAATTGGGAAAATTGTCGAATCTGACTCAATTGTAAAAATAAATATTATTTTTGGCTATTTTGATTTGATATAATGATTACATGATTTTGAAGTTTTTCATTGCTTAAAACAGTGGGTTTTTATATACGAAACACCTTTTTTTTACCTTCGGCATTTTTTCGACAGCCTAAAATCATATTTCATATTAAAAAATTGTTAATAAAATATTACAAATCATTCTAATACATGCTGCGGCTCTAATTACATCTTTATTTTAAAAAATTAATTCACCAAATGTGACGCCGCACGAGAAAAGGGACCTATCCCTGAAATAACATTAGGCTCAGTTTTCCGTGCACTATACACGGAAAACTAAGCCTAATGTTATTGGGATCCGAAATCTTGTGTAACTACTCAACCCTGAACCCACTTGTGGCAACCATCTTGCTGTTTTGTCTCTTTCTTTATACATATGTTCGACAGAGACAAAATAAAAAATGGCTACCGCAAGTGGGTCGACACCAGATGGCGTATCGCAGTATTTCAGATCCCAATTTCGGGGATAGGTACCTTTTCTCGTGCGGCGTCACAAATATGAAAAAACGTCCAAAAATTAAAAATACTTATCTCAAAAAAGTCTTGAAAATAAACGGTTAATCACTGAAAAATGACATAACCAAAAATTAAACATTGCCCGGGGAGGGAAATGACTGTTATTTGTTATTAATTGCAAGATAGTAGTTGTTCTCTATAATTTTCGGTAAATCGAGTCAAATTACGTTAAAACAAATTTTTTTTACTTATTATTAAACTTATTTTCATGCATATAATTAAAAAATAATAATGATATGTATAATTTTTTCATTAAAAAGTCAAAGAAAGTATCACCACTAACCTTGCAAATTTACAACTAAATTGACAAAATTTCAAAGAGCTAAGGACACTGTTCTCGAAAAGCGCTATTATTTTCATAATAGTGAGTCGAAGAATAAAAATCTTTTTACACAATTAGCAGAATATTCTGCAGAATTTATATAAATAAATAAAACAAAATACCGCTTACCCCTATGTGCAAAAATTGTGATATGTAATTTGTTGAATTATTATAATATACTTTTGAAATTTTTATAAAATAACGAAACTGTTTATTTTGTACTATTGTTTTAGTACTATTCTTTACAACGTCTTAAGTCGAACTAATTTTTTATGACGTGATTTTTCATGTCCTTTATGTAACTGCGCTTATATGAGTAGGGATAAGTTAAACAAAATTTGGAACACGTGCTTTCGCCGAAGTTCTTATCGTAAATACTTAAATAGAAATTTGAATCCAAATTCAGATTATAAATGATATTTTCTTAATTATAAAATTTAATTTTAGACAATTTAAAACTTGATATTAATTTAATTACATATGAATATAAAAGAAATTTTAATTATAAAAAATTATAAAATATTCCTTATAATAACCCTGGCGGATTCGATTTGCGTAATGTCTACTTAACTAAGCGGACTTTAGGTAGACATTAGGTAGACATGTAAAAAAACGTATAAAAAAGCTATTAATCGACTTATTATGATAAAAAAAAGTTGATAAAAGGGTAAATGAATGTTTATAGAGTAAATTCGTACAAAATTTGTAATTAATAAAGCAATAAATAATTAATAATGAATGGAAATGTGCGCGAGGTACCTGATCAGTTCAGCTGTACAATTATTTTCGTGCTATTTTCATGAAAAGAATATAAATTAACTGCAAAAACAATTGATATTTATAAAAAAGTGTAAAATTGATTTAATTTGAGTGTTTGCAATACGAATTATTAAATAATAATTAAGTTTTTATCAAATGTGAATAGTGTTGTGAAAACCTGTGAAAACTAATGAGTTACTACATTACCGATCGCATATGAGAGATGGCGCCACCAGTTTTTACAATACAGTGCGAGCATGTTTTCTTCCAAGCTTTTGCTTTGAAAAAAAATTAAAAGTGAATTTTAAAATGCAGAATAAAGTTATACAAATAATTATTGATTTCATAATTGTTTCTCGTCAAAAATTACGGACATGATTGCAGCTTTTTTGTTACACTCATCGAGAACTTTTTATTATCATATGCGATCGGTAATGTAGTAACTCATTAGTTTTCACAGGTTTTCACAACACTATTCACATTTGATAAAAACTTAATTATTATTTAATAATTCGTATTGCAAACACTCAAATTAAATCAATTTTACTCTTTTTTATAAATATCAATTGTTTTTGGAGTTAATTTATATTCTTTTCATGAAAATAGCACGAAAATAATTGTACAGCTGAACTGTTCGGTTATCTCGCGCACATTTCCATTCATTATTAATTATTTATTGCTTTATTAATTACAAATTTTGTACGAATTTACTCTATAAACATTCATTTACCCTTTTATCAACTTTTTTTTATCATAATAAGTCGATTAATAGCTTTTTTATACGTTTTTTTACATGTCTACCTAATGTCTACCTAAAGTCCGCTTAGTTAAGTAGACATTACGCAAATCGAATCCGCCAGGGAATTAACAATAACAATATCTACTTTTACTGTTACATATACTTATAGGTTAAACAGAAACTTATATCAAAATTCTTAGTTGTTAATATACTTTTATCTTAATTATAGAGAAAAAAATATTCATTTTATAATTATATATATATTTAATTCCATTTTGAAATAATATATTGGAATTATAACCTTAAAACACGTGTATTTTAAATATTCTATAACATTTTTGGATAGAATATAAAAAAAGATACTTTCCATTTATAGAAATTTTTCTTATTAATAAAAAAACAATTATAAATAATAATAAACTTACCGCTATTATCTATAAACTTTTATTAATAATTGTGGCGTCTGCTTCTACTCTTCAGAGCATTTGAACCTTCGTGACGTCACAAATCATGACGCATGATGGCGCACTCCCCTGTTGAAAATTCCTATGTGAGAACACATTTGGGATCCCATCCAGGATCTCTTGTGAGTTCTTATGTGGGTTCCCATACAGGTTCACACATAAGATCCTGTATGAAAAGGTTCCTGGGATGAACTTGCGTGAGATCAAGCGCACGATCTTATGTCTCTGTAAAAGCAATAACATAGGATCCCATGAGGTTTCCTGTGTAGGTTCCTATATGAACAACACGATAAATAGGAACACACATGGGATCTTATCCGAGATCTTGTATGAGTTCTTACATAGGTTCTCACATATAAGAAGATTAATAGCATATATATAAAAGCATTCTATAAAATCTTATTAAGCTGCTATTAATCTTCTTATATGTGAGAACCTATGTAAGAACTCATACAAGATCTCGGATAAGATCCCATGTGTGTTCCTATTTATCGTGTTGTTCATATAGGAACCTACACAGGAAACCTCATGGGATCCTGTGTTATTGCTTTTACAGAGACATAAGATCGTGCGCTTGATCTCACGCAAGTTCATCCCAGGAACCTTTTCATACAGGATCTTATGTGTGAACCTGTACGGGAACCCACATAAGAACTCACAAGAGATCCTGGATGGGATCCCATATGTGTTCTCACATAGGAATTTTCAACAGGGTCACACCTTTTTTGGCTGCCTGCCTGCCTGCAGGTTACCATGGCAACGCACGAGTGTGAGTGAGACAGAAAATTTGAATATTCAAATTTTTAAATTTTCTGTCGCACTCACTCTCATGCGTTGCCATGGTAACCTGCAGGCAGCCAAAAAGGTGTGAGAGCGCCTTGACACGCAAACTTCTCAGGCATGTGAAAAGCACAATTTTGAATATTTTTTTAAAAAACCTTTTGGAAAATATTCAGAATAACACAGACTCTGTCTGTTATGTGCGAAAAATTCAAAATTTTGCGTTTAAAACGTTTTTTAAACAATGTTTAAGTTCCAAAAATGGCCTACATATATAAGCAATTCGTGTATTTTTCCTTACTTGTGACAACCAACTTAAACATTGTTTAAAAAACGTTTTAAACGCAAAATTTTGAATTTTCCGCACATAACAGACAGAGTCTATGTTATTCTGAACATTTTCCAAAAGGTTTTTTTAAAAAATATTCAAAATTGTGCTTTTCACATACCTGAGAAGTTTGCGTGTCATGCGCCATGATTTGTGACGTCACGAAGATTCAAATGCTCTTCAAGTAAAATTTTCCAGGTCGAATGAAAATGAGTCGAGAAATTTTGATCGAGATCTCGAAAATTAAAAATTTTAGACTCAGACAATATTATATTTAAAATTAATTGATCAAATTTTAATTTAATAAGTGACTTAAATTTGACAAACAAATTTGTGAATGATGAAATTATTATGTATTTTCTCTCTATTTTAAATTACAAAATTCACTTGCGGTCATTGATGTCTTCTATTTTTTGTCCTTGTCTCACACACGTGTTACCATGACAACAGAAAAAGATAAAAAAAACTGTGTCATATTAAATTTACAAAATCGTTATTTTAGAAATTTGCTTAAATTTAATTTAATTTAATAGATAAATACATATAATAAATAATAAATATTTATATTTTTTTAAAGTAAATGAAAATCACAGCGTAAAGTGTATATTAATTTAATAAAAATTATTAAAAAAAATTCTATGAATTACAGTTTTATGAAGTATCAATTTATTTTTAATTTAATTTTCAATTTAAATATTTTGAAAAATTTATTATTTTAACAAATTACCACAATTTATTAAATTAATTTTCTTTTTGTGAATTAGAAAATTTTTATTTTTATTTATTTATAATGCAGATTTTTTAATTTGTTCATTAAATAAATTTTAATTTATAATTATATTTTCATAATAAATAACTGATGAAAAATTGAATTATAGATCATTATTGCGCAATTTTACATTCATATATTGACAGAAAAATAAAAATGTGAAGAATTAATTAAAAAAATTAATTTATTTTTATCAATTTCAATGTCTAGATTTTTTTTTAGAAGAAATTGTTTTTTTTTATGGACGTTTATCCACGGAAATGCAGACCTTCAGAAAAAATAATTAATTAGCGCATTCAAATAATTAAAATAATATTATTAATTGTACTTTCTGAAAGAAGAAATATGAATTTTCAAGAAAAAAATTTAACACTTAAAAAATTTATTTGTTTATACAATTTGCATAGGATAAAAATTTTCTGTCACATCGCTTCTATAGAATTTTTTAAAAATGATTGAATTTCTAAGTAATATGGCTTATTTTCTTCAGAAAATGATTCTCTACAATTTCACCGTGCGGGGATTTTCAAACAAGAAAGCCATTTAGAAAATATGACTATTTGTTTAAAAAAATCTTAATTTTTATTTTAAACAAATAGCCATATTTTCCAAACGGCTTGCTTGTTTAAAAATTTCCACGGTGAAGTTGTAGAGAATCATTTTCTGAAGAAAATAAGCCATATTACTTAGAAATCCAATCATTTTTAAAAGATTCTGTAGAAGCGATGTGACTGAAAATTTTTATCCTATGCAAATTTTATAAACAAATAAATTTTTTAAGTGTTAAATTTTTTCTTGAAAATTATGATATTTCTTCTTTCAGAAAGTACACTTAATAATATTATTTTAATTATTTAAATGTTAATTATAATTATTTTTTCTGGACGTTTGCATTTCCGTGGATAAACGCGTCCTTGACGGATGAAATAAATGAAAAAAGGAAATTAAAAATGAAACTGCAACTTAAACTATTAATGTTTTTATTAAAATAATAAATAATTTGTCATTCTAAATAGAGTTTTCATCTATACATCATGTTTACAAATTGGAGTACATATAATAAACTGAAAGGAAAATTTCTTTCTAATAATGTTTCATTTTTCAATTGGCACTGAAGGAAATTTATTCCTTTGGATTTTCGATTGGTTCAGAAATTACTGGCTTCACTGTTGTTGGTTGTAAATTGTTTGAATAATTGTTGTAATTATAAGGATTATAGTAATAAGGATAGTAATATGACGAAGACGACAAACTTTGAGGTTTATTTATCTCTTGACTTTGTTGTTGTGGTTGTTGGTATCCTGTTGGATAAAACGATGGAAAAATCTGACTTTGTGGATTTTTTATCTCTTGACTTTGTTGTTGTGGTTGTTGGTATCCTGTTGGATAAAACGATGCAAAAGTCTGACTTTGTTGTTGTGGTTGTTGGTATACTGGATAAAACGATGGAAAAGTCTGACTTTGTGGATTTTTTATCTCTTGACTTTTTTGTTGTGGTTGTTGGTATCCTGTTGGATAAAACGATGGATAAGTCTGATTTTGTAGATTTTTTGTCTCATGACTTTGTTGTGGTGGTTGTTGGTATCCTGATTGATATATGTAATAATAAGGATGATAAAATGGCACAGGCGACGAACTCTCGGTTGTTAGTTTTTGGTTTCGTTGTAGTTCACAGTGTGTCGCAACCAGCACAGCTGCCAATAGTAAAATTACTAAACCTGAAACAATCAAAGTAGAAATAAATTTTTATGTGTTTTGGATTGATATGAAAAGAAAAATTTGTTATATTGTTATAAATAGTAAAATGAAAATAAATCAAACTTTTTTTTTTACTATAATAATAATTATGTTGTTCTCGATGTTGTTACTTCTCGTGGTTTAAATTATTCTTAACTATACTTTTTAAAATCAATTTTACTATAAATATTATTGTTCACCAGCGATAATAATTTAAAAACATTTATTTTGTTTTTTATAAATAGAAATTTTTAAAAAAATTATATAAAAATTAGAGAAATGGAAAAATATAAAAAATTTATAAAATGGAAAAAAAAGAAAATTTTGTTTTTAATTTACAATTTTAAAATTTTTTTATTAATTTTATTTTAATAACTAGCAAAATTAAACGCGCGCAAGAGTGTCAAATTGAGTATTTAATTATTTTTTATAAAGAAATTAAGGATTAATATTATTAATAATAATTTAATTTATTAGAATATTATTACATATTAAATGATAATAATGAAAATTATATATGTTTTACAGGCCTCGGATTATACGACTTTTTCCGACTTTTTTCAAAAATACGACTTTTATCGACTTATTTTAATAAAATGCGACAATTTTTTTTACATTTGAAAAAAAATGTAAATAAAATACATTTTTTTTAGTATAAAATGCAGATCTTCTTCAGATCTTCTTCAATTCAATTATTTAACAAATTTTGAACTAAAATGATTCTTCACTAAATTAATTATTTTTAATAATTTTAATTAAATACATCACAAATTCAATTATATCAAAATTATTTTTTCAATTAAAATTTTTATGAAATTTAACAATTGTTTATAATTTAAAAAAAAATATTACAAAAAAATTGAATTATTTTTTAAAAATTTCAATTCAAAATAAACTAAAATTCAATTATTATCCGAAATTTTAATTCAAAATCAATTAAAAATCTAATAATTATTATCCAAAATTTAAAATTTTAAATTTAATTATTTACCAAGTTTTCAATTTAAAATGAAATAAAATTCAATTATTTTCTAAAATTTCTATTCAAAATTAATTATCTAAATTTTCAATCAAAAATGAACTTAAATTAAATTATTATCCAAAATTTCAATTAAGATTCAATTATTTTCCAAAATTTTCAATTCAAAATTAACTGAAATTCAATTATTTTCCAAATTTAAAATCAAATAAAATTTAATTATTCTTAAAAATTTGAATTCAAAATTAATTGAATTTTAAATAATTTGAATTTAAAAGCATCTAAAATTTAATTATTTCTAAAATTTTCCATCGAAAATTTTTTTTTTTGAAATTTAATAATTTCAATTATAACTCTAAGGAAATTCAATTATTTTTAACTATTTTAATAATATTCTTTGAAATTTCAACTATCTGAAACCATTTTTCAATTAAAAATGATTTTCAAATTATTGTATTTTGTCAGCATTTTCTAATAAATTTTTAGTGAAATCATCTAAAATTTTAATTACAAAACACTTAAAGTTTCAATTAATTTCAAAAATCTCAATTTTAAATCTTTGAAAATTCAATTATATTTAAAAAATGTTTTCCAAAAATTGTTTGATAAATTATTTTTAGTACTGTAAAATTTAATAATTGTTTGAAAATTAACAATATCTTTTGAAATTTAATTATTTCTAAAATTATATAATAATAAATAATATTAATATAATAAATAATATTATTAAAAAAAAATTTTTATTTAAAAATCTGTAAAATATTGTTGTTAAAATAAAAAACAAATCCACTTTTTTTTGAATATAAATCGACTAAAACGACTTTTTTTGTGTCTTTAAGTTGATTCGAGGCCTGTGTTTTTATAATTAATATTTAATAGGTATTCGTTGGCCCTTGGTACCTTTAAAATTAATTTTTAAAAATAAATTTTTTTCAAATTACTATCTTGTACGAAATTTCCTGGCGCATCTTTTTTCTCATCATAAATTTTTTCTATTTATATACAATTTTTGAATCAATATACAACTTTAAAAAAAAATTTCGTTGGTAAACGTTGTGTACTTCAGCTTCGTGAATTGAATTTTCGAATTTGGAATTTTAAAGAAACTTATTCTGAAATTTGAAAACACAATTATACAACTTTGGCAAAAATGAGAAAAAGAATTGTCAAAATTTGACACGTCATAAGATTACTATTCAAAAAAACACGTGAAATCAGAAAAGGCCAACTTCAAGTTAAGACAGAAGGACAGACCAAGCATTTTATGTTTGTAATTAAATAAAAAATGTTTTTTTCTTTGTATAATTTTTTAGAGAATAAAATTTTTGCAGTTCTGAAGAGATCGATAGTACCGTCGAAACGTTAAAATAATTGTTTAAATTTCATCCTGTTTGATCGGAAAAATTGATAGATTATATTTTATAAAAATTAATTTTTTTTGAAAAAATATTTTATACTCACTTGAACGCATTTTGATTAATGGAAGAGTGTCAGCGTTAAATAAATAGTCTTCTTGATGTAAATAAATTTTTTAGTGATGTTCAAATAACACTTTTCTCTCCCTGCGAGATTTCCGCACACTGTCAACTTCAAAACTAAACTAATGTTTTTGAGGAAGATTTGAACTATTTAACCCTCTACCCCCTACCCTCTGTTTTAATTTTGTCACTTAGTGTAAAACATTGGAGTTAACTCCCAATACTAATAACTACAAAAAAATGAGAAGATAATACGGGAATTAAATTGTTTTTTAATAGCACTATATCTATTTCTATACATTGCTTAAAATTTTGTAATAGATTCTACTAATGAATTTTTTAATGTCATTTATTTAACATTATAATAATATTATTATTACAAATATTTGTAATAATCAATTTTTTTAAGTAAAATAATTTTAACGTACAATTTTTTTGATACATTGTAATTTTTAGAACAAGGAATGTTAATTTTTGACGAAATCTTGATTCTTAAAATATTGAATGCGGATATTTGTGGAAATCTATTTTGAATAATTTCGACGTGAAAAACTCAAATTAAAAATGGTTTTGTGTGTATTATTTAAAGTTAAATTATTCAACAACATAAAAATTAATTTACAAAATATATATAGTTAATTTTATTTATATATTGTATCTTTTTTCATGGTGCGCGTGTAGGTAGCGGAACAATTGGCCTATTTTGATTTCTTGGATTCGTAGTTGTAGTATAGTATGTTGGATTCCATGACGTTGGTGGCTGTTGGGTATAAGGATTAAAAAATGATGGCATTTTGAAGAAAAGAGAAAAAGGCCACTGCTTATGCCACGGTGCTGGTTGTTTTTCGAATTGGTGATTTACCCTCTGTCCATGCCAGGATTCCGATGGTTGCTTTTGGTGTTGATGATGATAATAAGACTGTTGATTCCATGATTGTGGTTGACTTTGACTTCGATGATAATAGGACTGTCGATTATTCCATGATTCTGGTTGCCTTTGACTTTGAGGATAGGAAGATTGTTGTTGATACATTGATTCAACAAAAACTGCCGCCAATAGTAAAATTACTAAACCTGAAACTGAAAATAATTTTTTTTTAAATTTTAAATTAACTTTTTCAAATTTATATATCTTCTATTATATTAAGTTAACAAATTTCGAAAAACGACACCGACCCCGTGACCTCGACACCGTCCTTGAAAAATCTATTTTCAATTATTTTCAAATAAATCAAAATACTTTGCATATATGCTTTTAGAAAATCTTATAAACTATTTTTATGTAACATCTTTTTTCAATTTTAACCCGAAAAAGGGTTATTTTTCAATTTTAACCCAAAAAAGGGTTATTTTGCAATTTTTTAAGAATTTTTTGATTTTTTCAATTTTTTATTATTATTTTTTATTATTTATTGTTGTTTTTTCAATTTTTAGTTAGTAACCTATAATATTGTGTCTAATTTTAAGTGTCATTAAAATCAAATGTTTTTAACTTAATAATTTTAACATTTCTTAATTTAAAACGAAACATCTTCTATTATATTAAGTTAACAAATTTCGAAAAACGACACCGACCCCGTGACCTCGACACCGTCCTTGAAAAATCTATTTTCAATTATTTTCAAATAAATCAAAATACTTTGCATATATGCTTTTAGAAAATCTTACAAACTATTTTTATGTAACATCTTTTTTCAATTTTAACCCGAAAAAAGGTCATCGCTAGTAGTATATAAATTTAAAAAAAAAATTATTCAAATCAAAATTTTATTTAAAAATTGATCCAATTATTTTATGGGCCTACATTTTTTTTTGTAGGAGAAAATAAATTTAAAGCAAATTTGAGTTAGTTTATACAACAAAAATTTTACCTATTATATTTATTTTTTTAGGTATTCTTATTGAGGAAAGAAATTATTTTTGAATCTCATATTGAATAAAATTTAAATAAAGATTTTGATACTTATATAAAATATAAAGTAAAGAGAAAAACGATGTCATTTAATTCCTTAACGAAAAAATACAAAAATATTGTAAATAATAATAAAAATTTTAAATATATTTATGTTTACTGTACATATTACTTACTTAAACCCATTTTGAATAGTAAAAGTGTGTAAGGGTAAAAAATAGTTGTTTTTGATGTAAGCAAATTTTTTATCAATGATGTTAAATATAACACCTTGCTTTCTTGATAACCGAACCGCAGATACTGTCAACTTCAAAAATCTTCTACATTTTTTTATAGCGATTTTAATTTTTTAGCCTTCGACCCCCTCTGCCTATATTATAATAACCAATTATTCTCTAATTTACAAAATAACTCTAACTGTAAATTCTGATTATTCTAAAAAGTTGTGTATTTTTGATTTATACTAAAACACCTGTAATCAAAATAAATATGTTATCTCACTTTTGTCACTTTTGGACAATAGATCATTTTTTTTTTATATTTTATGTATATCTTTATAATATTAACTAATTTTACTACTTCCTTACTGTGTAGAAATTTTATTGACCTTGAAAAATTTTCATGCATGGGCTACATTCACTATCAAATAATAAAGTTATTTTCAACGAATAAAATTTTGTAATGAATATTACGCAATGAACAAAATAAGCTATTATTTTTTCCAAATTGAATGAAATATAAAAATTGCGTTTAACAAGCGATTGAAGAAAAATATGAAATAATTATAATAAATTAAAATTATATTGGTTTTAATGTATAATAATTATAATTGGTGTTACAAATGAAATTACAGAAAATATAGTTCTTACTATTTAAATTAAATTAATTTAAAACTAGTTTCAATTGTAGTTATATTATTATCACTATTATTTAATGTCATTAATGAAAAATAAAATTAATTGTACATCTAGATATTTTTATGAAAAATCAAGAAATGAATTTGAAGATATTTTTGGATAAGCTTTATTTAAAGCATCAGTGAAATTTTTCTTGCCAACTGTATCTTTTATCCACTTGTAAAAACGTTTAACTCCTGTAAAAATGGTTTTAGAATTCCATTTATTATTTGTATCGCAATCATTACTGTTAACAGCGAATCCAATTAATTTATTTTTTATAATAAGTGGATCACCATGATCACCAGGACACATTTGTAGATTAATTGAAATTGAAAAATTTCGATTCAATAATTTAACATCCCTTGTGTTTAACCAAATTGTTCTACGTGAGAGAATTCCCAAACTTTTTTCTTTATTATTTTTCTATAAAGAGGAAAAAATTTTATTTATAAATTATTTTTATACTTAAAATTAATTTATGATTTGTTGAGAATATTATTATTTATCATTCACTTAAAATAGAAAAAATAATATTTAAAATAATTTATTTAATTAATAAATAATTAAACGTTAATGATAAATTATATAATTTAATATTATCATTGTTTTAAACTTACATCATTATATCCATAACCAAGAACACTAAATTCTGCTATTAGTCCAAAAATATATTCATTAGTTGAAATTAGAGATATTGGTCGACGTCGATAATTGAAATGAATTTCTCTTTTCAACTGAAATTATAATTTTTTATATATGTGTAAAATAAAAATAATAAATTTTATTTTATTTAGAGTAGAATATTTTTTTTTTATTGTTTTATTATAACTGTATTGCCGTTATTATATATATAAAAGTAAAAATCGTAAAGAAAATTAATAGGTGATATAATTTTAAAATATATTATGTAAAAATATTTTCATATAAAAAGATTATAATAATTAATATGATAGAATGCGATTTTAGATTTTTTTTTAAAATAATATATTTTAATTTACTCACTCTAATTAAAGCGAGGCCATCAGAATATGAATTATTTCCATTAAATTTAATAGTGACATTCTCAACTTCAAAAACATCATCAGGTATAGGTAAATTTATGTTACTTAGCCCAATATAGGCTATCATATTTTTTCCTTGTCTGCATATAATTTTAATTGTTTAATACCATCTTTTATTATTAATTATATATATTTTTTAATCAAGATTCTCATAAATCTTTGTAAGATGTTGAAATTTTGGTTTTCTTTTACAGTAAAATTTTGTTTAATAGTTAAAAAGTGACTTAAGGAGTATTTAGTTGGGGAATCAGGAAAAATTAATTTTCATAAAAAATTGTTTACAATTTATTTTTACGACACCAATAATTCTAATATTTATATTTCTAGTCTTTATAAAATTAATTTATAAAAATTAATTTATAAAAATTAAATAGGGTCAGCCGGGGTAAATCCGAACGCTAATTATTTCAGCTTAATTAAAATTTTTAAAAATAAGTTCGATATGAGAATTTATACCTCAGATCCTCTTCAAGAGATTCTAAGTATTATCCCATTTTTCGTTTGTTAATTAGCAACAGCATAAACAAAGATAACGAGTATTGCAAAAAAGACTGAAAATCAAAGATGACACTCTTTCAGTATTTTGTCTCGTATTTCAAGAAAAAGAAGCTAAAAATTTATTTTATTATTTATAATTGTTTGTTATAAATACTAGAACAGAAACTATTTTTCATTTTTGACTTCTGTAAAATTTTATTAATAATATCAGACCGTTCGTATTTACCCAGGAAAATTGAAAAACCGGGGTAAATCCGAACGGTATTTTCAATAATTTTTTTTTACATCAGAGCCACACAAAATTGTTTTTATTTCATTACACTATTATTTTAACATTATAAAAGTACAAAGAAAAAAGTCGTTAGTAATTAATAAGCAGAAACTTAATCTCTGTTCTCTCGAAGGAGTGTTTCAATTTTTTTGCCAAATGGTTTGTTGAAAAAAGTTTTTCAGGATCTTAATAAAATTTGGTATTCTACGGTTTTTGGGGTCGCTAATTACCAATTTGAAGTCAGTTTTTCAAAATTCAAAATGTCGGACGAGAATTAAAAAATTCATTGGATTCGCTCGAAAATTGTTACTCGGGGGGTTTCAGGGTCGCTGATTACGAATTTGGAGTTAGCAAATTTGATCATTTTTAAAAATAAGTTTTAGGAAAGTCCGCCATTTTGAATTTAAAAAATTTCACTTTTATTTTTGTATTTACATTCAATCACTCCAAAATACTTTCTGTACCAAGTTTTGCAAAAATTCGTTATGATTTGATAAAGTTATTGAAGGTTTTAATTGTGTAATATGCATTTTAATTTTTAACCTGTTTGATTTTTGTATTTATATATGATGCATTATTACATAATAGGTTTATTATCGTATTTTTTTTGAGTTTTTATATAATTTTAACAATTGCAATACTTTAAATTTATTTTCCCTAAGATTTTTCTGAAATACAGTGGCGTTCGTATTTACCCCGGTATTTTAGGAAAGTTGCAAAGTATCGAGGTAAATACAAACGCTAAGTTTCCTGCGATTGTAATTTATCAAAAATTGTTGCTACCCCATAGAATTGTTCTATGGAAGTAAAGTAACAACTTCATGCACCAGAATACCGGAAGTATTTTTTTTTTAAAGAAAAAACTTATGTTATTGTTGAAACTTACTAAAAGCGTTCGGATTTACCCCGGTTGACCCTAATTAAATTTGTTACCTTTACTTGCTAATAATTTATAAAGTTATGAAAATTATATAAATAGTGTAGTATTATTTAAATATATATTATTGTTTTTATTTTTATTACTCACTGTAATGTAAAAAATTCTGATGTGGAAAGTAAAAATAGATTAGAAATAATTACTGCCGTTGCGAATGGGTGAGTACTCGGAAAGGATTTATCAGCTTCCACTACTGCCTAAAATAATGTTTTTAATAAATTCTCAAATGTTTATAATAATTTATAAACTTACCATATACGGTGCTTTTTCAATAGCAATTTGAGTTGAATTAAGAAGCCTTTTCGAAATTGAGTGTTTATTATGATTAACTGAGAAAAATAATATTTCAATTAATTTCTATATAAAATAATCTATAAAATGTATATAAAAATGTATATATATAAAATTTTTTGAAATCAATTTTTTTTAGCGAATATTTTAATTATGTCAACAATTAATTAAATTCTTATATAGTTTATTGATTTGATGTTGAAGAAAAAAATTATTTTTTTTTAAATTTTACTCACCATTATTATGAAATCTAAAGTGATGAAACTTGCAAAAAGAGCTGTTTATAAATAGAATACATAGGACAACGATAAAAATTAGTTTCATTTTATAATTTATGGGTATCTATAATTATTCTTACAATATTTCTAAAATTAAATCGCTTTTCACATATTTATATATAGAGAGAAGATTTTACGGAAATGGAGAAAAATTATTTACTATATGATAATAATGATTTTTTTGTAATCTTCGGTAGGAAATGCAAATTAATTGTCTTTACGCATCAATGTGTTGAATATAAGAAATTATCTTGAAAAGGAACTGCTGATGGACAATTTGTAAGTATGATAAAAATAAACTATAAATAATTTTTTAAATATTCTATTTTTATGATACACTCTATTTCTATATTTATTTTATTGATAAATATATTTTTTTTATTAATAATATCCAATACATTTATTTTGTTAAAATTAACAAGTATATTATAATTACAATCACGATTTTACTATTTTTTGTGTGTATCCTGATCGAGGGGTTTCCCCCTTTAGAAATTATACATATAAGACTAATTGGGAATTTTTTTTGGGAAATCATTTGTGATTCCCCTTGGGATTTCCTTAAAATAATGTTCACTATCCAACCCTGCATGCTTACAAAATAGTTCGGTTTAACTATACAACCTTGGCAGTGCTACCGCATGGAAATGTCGATTGAGATACACTTTTGTATCTTGTCTTTTTATTGATATCAAATGTTAGCTAACTGTACACAAATAAATTCTCAACAAAATTAAATAAAAATATATTCTACATAGTTAAATACTACATTATTAAATTATCTAGAAAATTCTCTCCATAAACTTTACACAAATAAACACAACACATTAAGATTTAGAATTAGAAAAACAAAAATATTTTTTTATAATTCTACACAAATAAATGCTACATCAGTAAATTCTACACAGCTATAAAAAAGTAAAAAATTAAATTCAGGAAAAGTGTAATTGAATTGAATAATTAATGTATTTAGTGATAGATTTGTGATAAATTAACGTGTTATTATTAAATAAATAAAGTTTAAAGTGTAAAATGTTCGCGTAAGTGAGTTTGACAGGCTAGGGCAATTTTCTAGTGACCCTGGCGGATTCGATTTGCGTAATGTCTACTTAACTAAGCGGACTTTAGGTAGACATTAGGTAGACATGTAAAAAAACGTATAAAAAAGCTATTAATCGACTTATTATGATAAAAAAAAGTTGATAAAAGGGTAAATGAATGTTTATAGAGTAAATTCGTACAAAATTTGTAATTAATAAAGCAATAAATAATTAATAATGAATGGAAATGTGCGCGAGGTACCTGATCAGTTCAGCTGTACAATTATTTTCGTGCTATTTTCATGAAAAGAATATAAATTAACGGCAAAAACAATTGATATTTATAAAAAAGTGTAAAATTGATTTAATTTGAGTGTTTGCAATACGAATTATTAAATAATAATTAAGTTTTTATCAAATGTGAATAGTGTTGTGAAAACCTGTGAAAACTAATGAGTTACTACATTACCGATCGCATATGATAATAAAAAGTTCTCGATGAGTGTAACAAAAAAGCTGGAATCATGTCCGTAATTTTGGACGAGAAACAATTATGAAATCAATAATTATTTGTATAACTTTATTCTGCATTTTAAAATTCACTTTTTATTTTCTTTCAATGCAAAAGCTTGGAAGAAAACATGCTCGCACTGTATTGTAAAACCTGGTGGCGCCATCTATCATATGCGATCGGTAATGTAGTAACTCATTAGTTTTCACAGGTTTTCACAACACTATTCACATTTGATAAAAACTTAATTATTATTTAATAATTCGTATTGCAAACACTCAAATTAAATCAATTTTACACTTTTTTATAAATATCAGTTGTTTTTGCCGTTAATTTATATTCTTTTCATGAAAATAGCACGAAAATAATTGTACAGCTGAACTGATCAGGTACCTCGCGCACATTTCCATTTATTATTAATTATTTATTGCTTTATTAATTACAAATTTTGTACGAATTTACTCTATAAATATTCATTTACCCTTTTATCAACTTTTTTTTATCATAATAAGTCGATTAATAGCTTTTCTATACGTTTTTTTACATGTCTACCTAATGTCTACCTAAAGTCCGCTTAAGGTGCTTATATACCTCAAATTTCGATCAGATGAACATTATTTCTGGACCGTGAAAATGCGTGAAAAGTCATTTTCACGGCGGGTATTTTTGAATTGTTTTAAACAAAAAATGTTTTTTTTAAGAAATATAATATTAAATAATTGTTTTAATATGTAAGAACACTTTAAAATAGTGATAAAAAGATGATTTGATTGAAAAATTTAGCAAATTTTGCTTTAAAACGTTTCTGCTACAAGAAAGTGTAAAATGACGATGTTTGTGAAATGGTTTGTACAGTGTACATGTGTACATGTTTCTTTCAGTTATTCGAAACAATTAGTTGAATTTAAATTTATTTGATAAACATTTCAACTTACCGATTTATTTTCAGCACTCATTATTTATTACAAGTTAAAAAGAACCGACATAACATAAACAAAACTCTGAGAGACACTAACAAGGAAGAAGCACTGTACAAACCATTTCACAAACATCGTCATTTTACACTTTCTTGTAGCAGAAAACGTTTTAAAGCAAAATTTGCTAAATTTTTTAATCAAATCATCTCTCTATCACTATTTTAAAGTGTTCTTACATATTAAAACAATTATTTAATATTATATTTCTTAAAAAAACATTTTTTGTATAAAACAATTCAAAAATACCCGCCGTGAAAATGACTTTTCACGCATTTTCACGGTCCAGAAATAATGTTCATCTGATCGAAATTTGAGGTATATAAGCACCTTTAGTTAAGTAGACATTACGCAAATCGAATCCGCCAGGGGACTTCCAACTTGATAGTCAAAGAAGTTGAGCCGCCGACTTTGCACGGTAGGTGGCAGCATTCATACTTTCTCCTTTTTAAAAATTCTCTTTTTCAATTGTAAATAGAAAAATTAATTAATTAATAAGTTATATAGTTTCTATGTTATCATTTTTTATAACAATTGAATTTTTGAAGATTGTTTAATGAGATAAATTAAACTTGTATAATCGATGCAAATTGTTGTTTTTAAAATACTTTTAAATAAATTTTTTCTTTTAATTACATTTATATTAAAAATAAATAATAATAAAATAAAGAAAGATAAAAAAAGTTTTCTTTATTAACATTATGATTAAATTAATTTAATTGAATTTAATTAAAAAACAACAATTTGCATCGATTATACAAGTTTAATTTATCTCATTAAACAATCTTCAAAAATTCAATTGTTAAAAAAAATGACAACATAGAAACTATATAACTTATTAATTAATTAATTTTTCTATTTACAATTGAAAAAGAGAATTTTTAAAAAGGAGAAAGTATGAATGCTGCCACCTACCGTGCAAAGTCGGCGGCTCAACTTCTTTATCGACTATCAATTTGGATGTCACTAGAAAATTCTCTAGCCTGTCAAACTCACTTACGCGAACATTTTACACTTTAAACTTTATTTATTTAATAATAACACGTTAATTTATCACAAATACAGCACAAATCTATCACTAAATACTTTTATTATTCAATTCAATTACACTTTTCCACAGTTTCCACTCAGTTTCTACACAATTTTCACTCCAACTAAATGTTTAACCAATGTGTAACGAATGTACAACGAATTCAGCGTATACATTCCGATTTCGAGATCCGCCAGGGTAAAAAATAATATTTTCTTCATATCGGATGATTTTTAAAACTGAAGGATGAAACATTTACCGAGTGATATAAATTTTGAAAACTACAATAATTTTACTTTTTTTGATAAGATGGATATACAAAAAAATGTATATACATTATCTACAATGACATTTTTTAAAGACTAATTTTTTTTGATAAGATATAGGTATTACGCGACGAACTGTAAAAAATACATATTCAGTTTTAAAAAATTCTTACAATGTGAAGTTGTCATTATAGCGATTTACAATAAGTACATGTTAAAAAAATGGTTCAGTTAACAAATATCTACTTTAATTTATTTTTAATATTTTATATTAATTCAAACGTTAATGGTTTATACAGAATTCTCATTATTTCTCCATTTAATATGAAAAGTCATAATGCCATGTTAGAAACAGTTGGAAAAGCTTTAGCATTAAATGGACATAAAGTTGATATTATTTCACATTTTGAATTGAAAAATTCAATAAAAAATTATACAACGATTATTAATTTAGATGGAACAATGCCACAGCTTGTAAACTCATTGACAATGAAAATGATTGATTATCTTAGAAAATTGAATATTGTTTCTGGATTAATTGAAAAATTTGGTAGCAATTATTGTGAATTAATGTCATCGGAAAAAATAAAGAAATTTATTAAAAATCCACCAACGGATCCTCCCTACGATTTGGTTATAACGCAGGTTAAATTAATTTTTTTTCACATGCAAAATATTTAATCATAAATCTGTTAATTTTTATTATATTTGCATTTTAAATTCTTTATTCCCACTATAAAACTATTTTTCAGGCTATGTCAACAAATTGTTATTTTGCATTTGGAGATGTTTTTAATGTTCCAGTAGTCGGAGTGTCACCTGTAGCACAATTTACATGGTTTGATGAGATTCTTGGCAATTCCATGTGCAATAGTTATGTAGCAAATTGGGAAACAAAAAATTCACAAATTAAAACATTTTGGGATCGTGTGAAAAATCATTTTTGGACACATTATCATAATTATAGATTTTTCAAGGATACAGAAAAAAATCAAACTGAGGCAATTAGAAAATATTTAAATCCAAATATGGCAAATATAAGGGAGATTGAAAAAAAAATTTCTTTACATTTAGTCAATAGTTATCAAAGTGTATTTGGTATAAGACCATTATCACCAGCAATTGTTCAAATTGGAGGCATTCAAATTGAACTGAGTGAATCAAAAATTACTCCTGTAAGTATACTAGAAGCGGAAATTATACAATCTTATCTCTTTTTTTATGATTGTAAATTTAAATTTTAAAAATAGAAAAACGTAGTTTTCTTTTAAAGTAAAAAAATAAAATTCGAAAATTTAAAAAACTAATATCAATCCTCTTCGGATGTAAATATAGGAACTAAAAATTTGGATGGATGAAAGTACAGAGGGAGTAATTTATTTCAGTCTTGGTTCTATGGTTATTTTAGAAGATTTTCCAAAAGATGTTTTATTGGGAATTTATGCGTCTTTTGCCAAATTATCGCCAATGAGAATTCTTATGAAAATTTTAAATAATTCAACACTTCCTCCAGGTTTGCCAGATAATGTTCTGACAATGTCGTGGATTCCTCAGATACCAATTTTACGTAAGAAATCAATAAAATTGCAATAAATTACAAAAAAAGGAAAATTTCCAAATTTTTTAATTTCCTTCTTTAGAACACAAAAATACAAAAGTATTTATCACACATGGTGGATTAAATAGCATGATGGAGGCAATTTCTTTTGCTGTGCCAATGATTGGTTTTCCCTTTGTAAGTGATCAATTTTTAAATATTCGAACTCTTGCTGAAAAAAATGTTGTCTATGAAATGGACTACAAAGAAATTTCTGAAAAAACTTTAGATGTAGCTCTGAATGCAGTTCTTTATGATTCCAAGTATCGGTGCGTTTTTTTTCAATTCCTATTATTTAAAAATTAAATAATATAAATTATTTAAAATTTGCTAATTTTTCAATTTATTGTTATGGCAGAAAAGCTGCAAAACGTGAATCACAATTGTTTCGAGATCGACCAATGAATGCAACTAAAACGGCAGTTTTTTGGATTGAGTACATTATAAGAAATGGTGCAAATTCATTGCGATCACCAACAATGGACATGCCTTGGTGGCAAGCTGAACTTGTCGATGTCTATGGATTTATTTTTATTTCCTTTCTTTTAATAAGCTATATCATTTATCGCATTATGAAAAACATTACTAGTCATTTGTATGATATTGTAAATTCTAGTTTTCAATGTCAATTTAAAAATTACCAAAGCTAAAGTAAACTAATTTTTTGTTATTAAATTTTCTATTTTGTAACCATCCGTCTGTTTACCGGAAGCGCTATCGTTTATATATATATACTTCCAGAGGACGTTCCTTCATGCATTATCAGTTTGTATCGCTTGACTTAAAATTTGAAAAATTCTTTTATTAATGAGTACAGTTATAATTTATTTAAATATAAAAATCCACAAATTAGAATTATTTCTTGAATTTTTACTTATAATCATATTATAAACTATGAATTCATGACTATTAATTAATGACTAAAAATAATTTACTTCATTTTCATAAGATATACCACGCGAACTTAGTAAAATATTATTTAGTTTAATATAATTTTCTTATACAATGTTGAATTTCCAATAGCGATTTAGTGTATTTTAAAAAAAAAATGGTTTCGTTTACTAATAATTACTTGTATTTATTTTTAATAATTTTTATTACTCTAAACATTAATGGTTACAGAATTCTTGTTATTTCTCCATTTAACATGAAAAGTCACAATAACATGTTAGAAAGTGTCGGTAAAGCTTTAGCATTAAATGGACATAAAGTTGATGTTATTTCACATTTTCAGTCAGAAAATACAATAAAAAATTATACAACAATTATTAATTTAAATGGAACAATGCCAAACCTTGTAAATTCTTGGACAATGGAAATGGTTGAATATATTAGACACATAGATATGGTTCCATCGATAATTAAAATATTTGGCAACAATTATTGTGAATTAATGTCTTTGGAAAAAATACAGAGATTTATTAAAAATCCACCAAAAAAATATCCCTACGATTTGATTATAATAGAGGTTTAAATAATTTTTAAATTAATATTAAAAAAAAAATTCAGAAAAAAATCGTTCTCTCTTTTTATTTTAAAAATTGCAATTAAAAAGTAATTTTTGTTAAATAAACTGAATTTTCTTATTTTAAAAACTATTTTTTTAGGCTTTTACAATGAATTGCTATTTAGGATTTGGAGATGTATTAAATGTTCCAGTGATTGGAGTGTCACCAATTGAGCAATTTACATGGTTTGATGAAATTCTTGGCAATCCCATGTGTAATAGTTATATTGTAAATTGGGAAACAAAAAATTTTCAAATTAAAACATTTTGGGATCGTGTGAAAAATCATTTTTGGACACATTATCATAATTATAGATTTTTCAAGGATACGGAAAAAAATCAAACTGCGGCAATTAGAAAATATTTGATTTCAAATATGGCAAATATTAGGGAAATTGAAAAAAAATTTTCTTTACTTTTAGTCAATAGCTATCAAAGTATGTTTGGTATAAGACCCTTATCACCAGCAATTGTTCAAATTGGAGGTATTCAAACTGAACTAAGTGAATCAAAAATTACTCCTGTAAGTATACTATAGAAGCGAAAATTATGCAATCTTATCTCTTTTTGATGATTGTAAATTTAAATTTAAAAAATAAAAAAAAAACTTAATTTTCTTTTAAATTAAAAAAATAAAATTCGAAAATTTAAAAAACTAATATTAATCCTCTTCGAATGTAAATAGGAACTAAAAATTTGGATGGATGAAAGTACAGAGGGAGTAATTTATTTCAGTCTTGGTTCTATGGTTATTTTAGAAGATTTTCCAAAAGATGTTTTATTGGGAATTTATGCGTCTTTTGCCAAATTATCGCCAATGAGAATTCTGATGAAAATTTTAAATAATTCAACACTTCCTCCAGGTTTGCCAGATAATGTTCTGACAATGTCGTGGATTCCTCAGATTCCAATTTTACGTAAGAAATCAATAAAATTGCAATAAATTACAAAAAAAGGAAAATTTCCAAATTTTTTAATTTCCTTCTTTAGAACACAAAAATACAAAAGTATTTATCACACATGGTGGATTAAATAGTGTGATGGAGGCACTTTTTTTCTCTGTGCCAATGATTGGTTTTCCACTTTATACTGATCAGTTTTTAAATATTCGACTTTTGGCTGAAAAAAATGTCATCTATGAAATGGATTTCAAAGAAATTTCTGAAAAAACTTTAGATGTAGCTCTGAATGCAGTTCTTTATGATTCCAAGTATCGGTGCGTTTTTTTTTTCAATTCCTATTATTTAAAAATTAAATAATATAAATCATTTAAAATTTGCTAATTTTTCAATTTATTGTTATGGCAGAAAAGCTGCAAAACGTGAATCACAATTGTTTCGAGATCGACCAATGAATGCAACTAAAACGGCAGTTTTTTGGATTGAGTACATTATAAGAAATGGTGCAAATTCATTGCGATCACCAACAATGGACATGCCTTGGTGGCAAGCTGAACTTGTCGATATCTATGGGTTTATTTTTATTTCCTTTCTTTTAATAAGTTATATGATTTTTCATATTTTGAAAAAAATTACTCGTCTACTTTATAGTATTTTAAATTATATTTCTCAAGGTCATAAGAAAAAGGATTGATATAAGCGAAATTGAAATTTGGACTCTTTTTTAAATACTTATAAGAGAAAAAAAGTTCCATACAATTTTTATTTTGTACAAACTGTTATTTTTCAAATTTAGTGTTTAATTTCTTTTTATAAACGAAAAATAGTGAAAATTTTATGAAATTAAAAATTAATTTTGTTAATAATCACTAATTATTATAAATTAATTTTTTCCTTCTAAAAAACGTTAAATATGGGTAAGTCCACGTCAGAAATATCAGAATCTGCAAGTGGTTCTTCGATTTTAATGATACTTGGTAAAATTATAGCTTTATATAAGAGCAATGTGTAAGTAAAAGGAATTTTTAAAATATCTAATATTGTAGGAGTTATATCACTTTTAATTTTGATACTGCATTTTTTTCTTTCCTTTATATCTCGGTTAATTTTCAACCGATTTTGATGAATCAAAAACGATTTTTTTCAAAAAATTACGTATTTTCAGAAAATTTTAAAATAAAAATAAAATTTTGTTATTTAAATAGAAAAAAGTAAAAAACAAAATTTCTTTTAGATTTTTTTTCAATTTCGACCTCTTTTTTTTAATTTTTAATTTTTTAATAATATTCCTTTTTATTTTATCTTTAATTTAAAAAAAAATTCATCCTGGAGACTTTTTCAGATCTTGTGATATCGTCCTTTAAGTATTATAAGTCTTCATCAATTTGAAAACCGCAGGACTTTCTTCTATCATTACTTTCATTTGTTTGTTGATATTTTTTATGGTTATGAATAACTATTTGTTTTAGAATCCTCTAAAAGAAAGCGCTAAAAACTTCAGCTACAATTTCAGGTTGCATTGTTAAGGTTTCATTACAATTTATTTTAAATTATAAATATTACAAAAAATAAAAACTTTGCTTCAAATCTATTAATAAAATATTGATTTGCTTGAATTTTCACTTGTTTTAGTCAAATAATTTCAAAATAAAAACATTATTACGCGAAAGTTTCTAGTTTGTAACAATAATATTATAAAACAAATGAAAGTAGAAACACAAATCTGGATCCTAGTTTTCTTGAGATGTGGATATTTAAAGAACGATATCACGAGATCTAAAAAAGTCTCCAGGATGATTTTTTTTTTAAATTAAAGATAAAATAAAAAGGAATATTATTAAAAAATTAAAAATTAAAAAAAAGAGGTCGAAATTGAAAAAAAATCTAAAAGAAATTTTGTTTTTTACTTTTTTCTATTTAAATAACAAAATTTTATTTTTATTTTAAAATTTTCTGAAAATACGTAATTTTCTGAAAAAAATCGTTTTTGATTCATCAAAATCGGTTGAAAATTGTCCGAGATATAAAGGAAAGAAAAAAATGCAGTATCAAAATTAAAAGTGATATAACTCCTACAATTTTAGATATTTTAAAAATTCCTTTTACTTACACATTGCTCTTATATAAAGCTATAATTTTACCAAGTATCATTAAAATCGAAGAACCACTTGCAGATTCTGATATTTCTGACGTGGACATACCCATATAATAAAAAAAAGACTTAAATCAAAAAACAGTCTATTTTGTTAAATAATCAGTTTCATTTTATTGTTTTATAATATATTAAACTGTATTACATATAATTTTTTCTTTACAGTATAAATTGAACCTAAACTGGGTATTTTAATTACGAATGTTTAATTTTAAATTAAAGTTTAAAACTACAATTAAGAAATTATTGAGAAAATTTAATCCCCACACAAAAATGATAATAAATAATTGTTTAATTTGTTATCGGTATTCAATTATTTTTTATATATATTAAATTCATTATTTAAAACCTACTTTGTAGGTTGATTATTATTAATTTAAAAATTTGAAAATAAAATTGATTTTGTACAATTTTTAATGAAAATTCTTCAATGAAAATTCCGAAGAATTTTTTTTTCACAATCAATTTTATGGTAATTGATCGACAATATTGTCGAAAAATGTATCTTCAGAATCTTCAATTTTTGTCATTGATAAAATATTATAAACCGCTTGATTTATTGATGATGTTGGTCCTAAAATTTGCATTCGAACAGCATATTTGAAGGAAAGAAATTGCCATTTTATTTCCATTCGTTGTTCTTCTTTCATTGCCTAATTATTTATTATTATTATTAGAATTTAAAATTTTGTAAAGAAAGATAAATTATTAAAATTGTGAATTACTTGAAATTCCGTAGCTGTGAATCCAATAAATTGTTCAACTGCATTTCCCATAAATCTACAACCAATAAGATAACCAGTGTTATCTTTTAGATTCAATTTTAAATTGAAACTAATTAGATTATAAGGTTTTTGACTTCCGTTACCACTAGGGCATTCCAAATTCATACATGAATCTTGACCTTTTTTAACGAATCTCTTGCACAGAGCGCTAAAATTTATCAAAAAATAAAATACAAAAATGATATATGAAACTTCGTATAAATATAATATGAATTAAAAAAAAAATTAATAAAAATCTATTACAAACTTACCACTTTGTTGTTATTAAATTTTCATCTCTACTGTCCAAATTGATTTCAGTCAATGTCGCATACAGTATGACAAAAAATTGAATTCTTTCAGAACTTTCGATTAAAGTTGATGATTGTGTATTTAATTTTTCGGTAATTTGTTGCACAGTCATTACTGAGGTAATGCACTTCACTATAATTAAAATTATTTATTATTCACTCATCGATTAAAAGGTAATTTTTTTTATAAATTGATTCATACCATTTTAATTATTCAAAAAAAAATTTTTTTTACTTACAATTTGGAATAGAATAAGGATCTGTGTGAGTAAACTCTGGTTTATTTGAAACAGCAAGTCTCAAATCAATTGCCTGTTGAATACTTGGATTTTCAGTGATCAAAGTCTTCTTAGCTGTATTGTAAAATTTTTTAAATTATTTTTTTTTTTTCATTTCAAAAAAGTTATTACTTTTTTTTTAGAATTTTTGTTCAATTAAATTTAAATTCAAATTTTGTATTTAATATAATTTGCATGTAATTTCTTTACCTATAGACATATTTATCCGTTTCTTAAAATTATCATATCCAATACGAATATCGGCTAAAAATAAAACTGTTTTACGAGTTTCCCAAAGTTCCGATAACCTAATCCATTCCAAATCCCAAAGTTGAAATGAAATAACTTTATTCACTGAATGATCTGTTACTTCAAAGGAACGACACTTGAATTTTCGACCATCTCGACTTATTATGTCACGAATTTCGCCAATCTAAAAAAAGTTTAAATTTTTTCTATAAAATTTTAATTAAAAAGAAAAATATTTATAAACTTTTTAGAAAAATATAAATTTGAACAATTCTTGGTACTATTTTTATTATTATTTTAAACACTATTCAATATTATTAATAATATTTTATTCCTACAAAAGTAACGACGACAAGAAGATCAATAAATTGATCTTTGAGTTCTTCAATGTGTTCCAAAGCAAATTTCAAAGATCTTAATGAATTCATTGATTTTGTTGGTAATTTCAGCAACGGTTCCAATTGAGCAATTATTTTTTGATTATTATGATTTTGTATCAATGAATTCCCTTCATTTACAGTAATATTTAATTGGCTTGTGACTGTTGGGAGAAATGTTTCATTTGGATCATCTACTTTTCGACTGGTCACTTTGCCGCTTATAATTTCAACTGAAATATATATATTTTTTTTTCATTAATATTTTCTTTTCTATATTAGAAAAGAACTATATTACAAAACTATAAAAATGTTCAAGAAAAATGAAACATAAAAAAAAATTGTTAAAATTTAATTATTATTTTAATTAAATTTTTAATTATTATAATTTAACTAGCAAAATTAAACGCGCGCAAGCGCGCCAAATTGAGTATTTAATTGTTTGTTATAAAGAAATTAAAGATTAATATTATCAATAATAATTTAATTTATTAGAATATTATTACATATTAAATGATAATAATGAAAATTATATGTTTACAGGCCTCGGATTATACGACTTTTTCCGACTTTTTTCAAAAATACGACTTTTATCAACTTATTTTAATAAAATGCGACATTTTTTTTTTACATTTGAAAAAAATTGTAAATAAAATACATTTTTTTAGTATAAAATGTAGATCTTCTTCAGATCTTCTTCAATTCAATTATTTAACAAATTTGAACTAAAATGATTCTTCACTAAATTAATTATTTTTAATAATTTTAATTAAATACATCACAAATTCAATTATATCAAAATTATTTTTCATTTAAAATTTTTATGAAATTTAACAATTGTTTATAATTTAAAAAAAAAATATCACAATAAAATTGAATTATTTTTTGAAAAATTGCAATTCAAAATAAACTAAAATTCAATTATTACCCAAAATTTTAATTCAAAATCAATTAAAAATACAATAATTATCCAAAATTTTCAATTTAAAATTTAATTATTAACCAAGTTTTCAATTTAAAATGAAATAAAATTCAATTATTTTCTAAAATTTCTATTCAAAATTAATTATCCAAATTTTCAATCAAAAATGAACTTAAATTAAATAATTATCCAAAATTTCAATTAAAATTCAATTATTTACCAAAATTTTCAATTCAAAATTAACTGAAATTCAATTATTTTCCAAATTTAAAATCAAATAAAATTTAATTATTCTCAAAAATTTGAATTCAAAATTAATTGAATTTTCAATAATTTAAATTTAAAAGCATCCTAAATTTAATTATTTGAATTAGGGTCAGTCGGGGTAAATCCGAACGGGGGGTAAATCCGAACGCTAATTATTTCAGCTTAATTAAAATTTTTAAAAATAAGTTCGATATGAGAATTTTTACCTCAGATCCTCTTGAAGAGATTCTAAGTATTATCCCATTTTTCGTTTGTTAATTAGCAACAGCATAAACAAAGATAACAAGTATTGCAAAAAAGATTGAAAATCAAAGATGACACTCTTTCAGTATTTTGTCTCGTATTTGAAGAAAAAGAAGCTAAAAATTCATTTTATTATTTATAATTGTTTGTTATGAATACTAGAACAGAAACTATATTTGATTTTTGCCTTCTGTAAAATTTTATTAATAATATCAGACCGTTCGTATTTACCCAAGAAAATTGGAAAACTGGGGTAAATCCGAACGGTATTTTTAATAATTTTTTTTTACATCAAAGGCACACAAAATTGTTTTTATTTGATTACACTATTATTTTAACATTATAAAAGTACATAGAAAAAAGTTTTTCTTTCTATACGTATCCTCGTTAGTAATTAATAAGCAGAAACTTAATCTCTGTTCTCTCGAAGGAGTGTTTCAATTTTTTTGCCAAATGGTTTGTTGAAAAAAGTTTTTCAGGATCTTAATAAAATTTGGTATTCTACGGTTTTTGGGGTCGCTAATTACCAATTTGAAGTCAGTTTTTCAAAATTCAAAATGGCGGACGAGAATTAAAAAATTCATTGGATTCGCTCGAAAATTGTTACTCGGGGGGTTTCAGGGTTAGCAAATTTGATCATTTTTAAAAATAAGTTTTAGGAAAGTACGCCATTTTGAATTTAAAAAATTTGACTTTTATTTTTGTATTTACATTTAATCACTCCAAAATACTTTCTGTACCAAGTTTTGCAAAAATCCGTTATGATTTGATAAAGTTATTGAAGGTTTTAATTGTGTAATGCATTTTAATTTTTAACCTGTTTGATTTTTGTATTTATATATGATGCATTATTACATAATAGGTTTATTATCGTATTTTTTTTGAGTTTTTATATAAGTTTAACAATTACAATACTTTAAATTTATTTTCCCTAAGATTTTTCTGAAATACAGTGGCGTTCGTATTTACCCCCATATTTTAGGAAAGTTGCAAAGTATCGAGGTAAATACGAACGCTAAGTTTCCTGCGATTGTAATTTATCAAAAATTTTTTCTACCCCATAAAATTGTTCTATGGAAGTAAAGTAACAACTTCATGCACCAGAATACCGGAAGTATTTTTTTTTTAAAGAAAAAACTTATGTTATTGTTGAAACTTACTAAAAGCGTTCGGATTTACCCCGGTTGACCCTATTTAATTATTTATTATTAATTAATTATTAATTAATTATTTAATTATTTAATTATCTTTTAAAAATTTCAATTCAAAATAAACTAAAATTCAATTATTACCCAAAATTTTAGTTCAAAATCAATTAAAAATACAATAATTATCTAAAATTTTCAATTTAAAATTTAATTATTTACCAAGTTTTCAATTTAAAATGAAATAAAATTCAATTATTTTCTAAAATTTCTGTTCAAAATTAATTATCCAAATTTTCAATCAAAAATGAATTTAAATTAAATTATTATCAAAAATTTCAATTAAAATTCAATTATTTTCCAAAATTTCCAATTCAAAATGAACTAAAATTCAATTATTTTCCAAATAATCATCTAAAATTTAATTATTTCTAAAATTTTACATCGAAAATTTTTTTTTTTGAAATTTAATAATTTCAATTATAACTCTAAGGAAATTCAATTATTTTTAACTATTTTAATAATATTCTTTGAAATTTCAACTATCTGAAACCATTTTTCAATTAAAAATGATTTTCAAATTATTGTATTTTGTCCGCATTTTCTAATAAATTTTTAGTAAAATCATCTAAAATTTTAATTACAAAACACTTAAAGTTTCAATTAATTTCAAAAATCTCAATTTTAAATCTTTGAAAATTCAATTAAATTTAAAAAATGTTTTCCAAAAATTGTTTGATAAATTATTTTTAGTTCTGTAAAATTTAATAATTGTTTGAAAATTAACAATATCTTTTGAAATTTAATTATTTCTAAAAATTTCAACTTTAACCCTTCGAAAAGGATTATTATTAAAACAAAAAATTTTTTATTTAAAAATCTGTAAAATATTTTTGTTAAAATAAAAAACAAATCCACTTTTTTTTTGGAATATAAATCGACTAAATCGACTTTTTTGTGTTTTTAAGTTGATTCGAGGCCTGTGTTTTTATAATTAATATTTAATAGATAATCGTTGGTCCCTGGTACCTTAAAAATTAATTTTGAAAAATAAATTTTTTTCAAATTACTATCTTGTACGAAATTTCCTGGCGCATCTTTTTTCTCATCATAAATTTTTTGTATTTGTATACAATTTTTGAATGAATATACAACTTTAAAAAAAATTTCGTTGGTAAACGGTGTGTACTTCAGCTTCGTGAATTGAATTTTCGAATTTTAAAGAAACTTATTTCGAAATTTGGAAACACAATTATACAACTTTGGCAAAAATGAGAAAAAGAATTGTCAAAATTTGACACGTCATAAGATTACTATTCAAAAAAAAACACGTGAAATCAGAAAAGGCCAACTTCATGTTAGGACAGAAGGACAGACCAAGCATTTTATTATTATATAATTATTATTAAATTGTTATTTTTTATAATAAAAATAATTTTCAAAATAATTTTTATTTTTGTGAATTAATGTTATTTAATTTTTTAAAAAATGAAAATATATTTACCAATAGAACCTAGTGTAAATTTATTGAAGAGAGAATCGACATATTTTGAGCTTCCCCAAACAGTCACGTTAAGAAAATCATCAGGCGAATCACGCAAAGTAAAGGTCCAAACAGCTCGTTTTATTTCATTAACTAGAAAATAAATTATAAACAGATAGTGATTATAATAAAAATTTTTATTTAACCGAATTTTTTTATGAAATTTTCTAGTTTTTTTGAATTTTGATTTAGCAACATTTTTATTTGACAAAATTTACATTTATTACAAAATTTTTTTAACTAGCCCCTATTAATGTCCATACTTTTTGACGATAATATGAAAAAAATATTAATTTTTTTAAAAAAAATGTTCTATTATAAATAAATCGAAAAAAAACTATAAATTATTAATACACAACTGAATATAAATAAATTTTAAATAATTTCTGCCCCTGTACATTGATTTTTATCTATGCGTAGACGTACGTTGTGTTCAAACTTTCATTTGTATAGAAATTCGAAATTTTTAAAAGTTCAGTTGTCCTTTTTTTGATACACAATTTAAAAAAAAAAACACTAAAATTTATTCTGAAAATTTGTTTACAAAAACAGTAATTTTAACCTGAAATTACTTAATTACAAAAAGGTTTAATTAAAATAATAAAATCAATGTGGAATTTTTTTTTCATCATCATTTTAGGAATTTTAGGTTATTTTTTTTTCAAAAAGCAAATATAAAACGTAATTCATTTAAAAATATGAACCAAATATAAACAGAATAAGAATATCGATAAATTATAAAAACAACAAAAAAATATAATGTATGAAATAATAATTTTTTTTTTATCCTATAAAATTTATACTCACATTTTCCACTATTAGATTCAAATATTCTTGGATTGGCACTCTGAATTATTATTCCAATTACAATAGAATTTTGAATGCCAGGTTGCAAATTATTCAATCTTTGCGTCCAAACTGTAGTCGACATAATTTATTGTAATTTCTTTTTTCTACACAACAGTATATTGTTTAACAATCGTTGATTCTTGTCGTTCCTGCGACAAAACGCGCCAAAATTATTTTTTCGACCAAGGAAATATTCTGCAAGGTACATTCACTAGTTGTGAAAATGGAAACACTCCGAAATGTGACACAAATGGTTAATCCTCCCCACCCTCAAAGTGTCACATTTCCGAGTTTCTTATATTTATTTGCAATTCCACATTTTCCATCCCTGATAATTTAGCTTTTTGAGAGCGCCTGTTTTCTAACCTTGTTTATTTTTAAATCAGATGTTATTTTTGCATAATTATTCAACTGAAAGGTAAGATTCACTTTGGTAAAAAATGGGATTTTAAATTAAAATTCACATCTACAAACAGTTTATAAAATATTTTTCCGAATTCGAAATTCGTCGAAAAATATCGTAATACATCAATTATTTGATATTTATATTGTTAAATTCAACAGGCAAAATATTTTGCAATAAGAAAATATAAAGAATTTTTGTTTGAATATTCATATTTTTATTTTTTGTTATAAACTTTAACAATATTATTGAATTGTTCTTTTTTTTCTATAAATAACAATAGTACAATGAAATCGGTTATTGAAAAAATTATAAATTTTTTTTTCGACTATTTTCTATTGCAAATAAATAGTAAAATCTATAAATTTCACTCAGACACAACTTAATTCTACATATTTATAAATTATTTTACGTGACGATACTATTTTTCTAATTCTCATTTTTATATATATTTATTATTTTAAAATGCAAATTTTTTGTCTATTGATATCACACAGTATATGTAAATAATATATAGTTGTTATTTTATCATCAAAAAAAATTTTCTAACTGTACCTAATTTAAAGTGCATTTATAAACAAAATGTTAATTTCAGTTTATATACCAGTTACAGTATATTAATTTTTCTCAAGTTTAAACATGAAACTGAAGTTACCAACTTTGATTCAACGAAAAATTAAAATTTAAGAATTCTAATTCCCATCAATGAAATTTGGTTATTTTCAATTCTCTGAAACCGGAAATAAAAAAAAACAATGTTTTGTCTCGGATTTTCCGAAAATTTCCAAGTAATTTTCATATTTCCTCGACTCGGAAGCAATTTTTCTCGTTTGATAATTATTTGTTTCAATGCTATAGAAGCATTAAAAAAAAAAAAAAACAGAAAAATTGCTTCCGAGGCGGGGAAAACAATATTTATCATTGTTTTGTCACGGATTTTTCGAAAATTCCAAAATTTCAAGAAAATTACTATTTCCTCGCTTCGGAAGCAATTTTTCTCATTTAATAATTATTTATTTCAATGCTAGAAGCCTTTTAAAAAACAGAAAAATTCCAAGTCGGGAAAATAGAAATTTTTTTGAAATTTCGGGATTTTCATATGAAAATTTGTGAGAAAAAAATCAAAAAAAATTTCCCTGTATTTTAAAACGATTCTAACATTGAAATAAATAATTATCAAACGCGAAAATTTGCTTCCAAAGCGAGAAAATAGCACTTTACTTGAAATTTTGAAATTTTCGGAAAATCCGGGACAAAACAATGATAAATATATTTTTTTTTTATTTCATATTTCAGACGGTTGAAAATATTCAAATTTCATTGATGGGAATTAGAATTCTTAAATTCTATTTTTTCGTCGAATCAACGTTTGTAACTTTAGTTTCATGTTTAAACGCCCTTTATTAGTTAAAAAAAATTTTTTAATTAAAAAATATATAAATCGTGTACTATTTTTATACAAATAGATCTATTGTTAGTCGTATCGTACATGTTTTAACAGTAAATTTATAGATATAGATAATATATTTTAGGCATTATTATTATTAATATAATAATATGTAATACTTTAATATTCTCGTAGATCATTTCAATTATTCTTACATAAAATTCTTATAATCTAATTTTGTAGCTCATTTGCGATTGTCGTATGGTTTAATACTTTTTTTTTCAAATTTGCATATTATTTCAATTAGTATTAGATATTAAGTACAATTTACTACGTCGAATTTAGTTAATTTCGTTGGATTTTTTTGTTTGTATGACTGAAAAAAATGCATCATAATATTATTGCGTAATCACGAATTGGTTTTATACTGGTTCTGATTGACCTTGACAACTTTAAACTGTCCCAATAAGAAACTATGTACCCAATTTTATGCCTAAAGAAAGTTGCAGTATCCTAAAGTTTGGAAATTTTTATTAAATTAAATAAAATAATGATAAAAACATTAAAACGTATAAAATTGTCAAAAATGAACTATGAAAATTTATAATTAATTTTGTTTTAAAATTTTTTCGAATAAAAATTACATACGATACTAATAAAATGCACATTAATAATTTTTTTTTTTTGAGAAAATATTTTCATTATAATGGGAAGAAAATATTCCTTTGAAACATATGAAGAAACGATGATGTGTGACTATCAGAAATTAAATAAGTATATTGAATATAGAAATTGTATTATAAATTACTAGATATTAACTAAATAATGAGATTTATAGCACGCACAATTTGCTTGATAAATAATATAAATGAAATAGAGTGCATGCCATTGTACATAAATTTCCAACGGCAATTGTACTGTGTACTAAACGAAAACTTTTATGAATTTTCAAATAATGTGGACAGTGTTTTAAAACGCCAAAATTTTGATGTCCAATTTCACTTCCAACTTTTGCAGTCACTTCAATTGATGTTTTCTGAACAATTAAACGCAAAAGTATTGGCGTCATGTAAAGACGAATCATTAATTCCAAAAAAAATGCACTTGTCATTGCAAATATCTGAAAAAAAGTTATATTAGAAAATTAATTTCACTTCAAATATGCAAGATTTCAAAACATTTTTTTATAATATGAACAAGAAAAAAGCATTTTATTTTCTTGTTTTTAAAGTAAGTACTGTTGAAAATTTTCCGAAATTGGCTGCTTTCCCATATAAAAACACTATGAGAAGTTTGTGTAGTCAAAAGCTACCATGGGTCAGAAGCCGAATTATTTTTTAAACATATAAGTGATCCTTTTTCATATAAACCTGCTTTTAGAACAACTTTTTTTTTATTGACACGAACAAAATAATAAAATTAAATAAACTAATAAAATCTTGAACAGATAAAAAAATTTTGCACCCGGTATTACGTTAACAGTGCATAATGTTCGTGCGTTGATGAAAAAAAAGTTGTTGTAGAAGAAGCTTAAATCTTGAGTGCCCAACTTTGTCAACTGACCTACTTTTACGCACGTGTATCATACAACATTTTTTGCAACACCCACCTCTAAAGTTAAGTACCTATTATGAAGAATTCCAACTCTCTATTAGAATAATTTCGATTGTATAGAATTAAAAAAATCAATCGAAGATCAAGAAAAATATCATTAAGCAGGAGTGTATAAATTTAATAGTAAAGTTCGTTTTTTAATTTTGTGGTTTTGTATGGTCTTAAACAATCCTTATATTATGTGAGAGAAATTTCGGTGCGTAAAGTAAATTTCAGTGCGTAAAGTGAATCACTTTACACACCGTTTGAAAAAGAGCTTCTTTACACACAATTTTCGGTGTGTAAAATTTATCTTTAGAGGTTAGTGTTGCAAAAAAAAAATTTCATATCTCTAATTCTCTACTTTGAAGGTTCATTTAATGATTTAAAAAGTGTTGTAATTAATTGCAAAATGAATTCAACTATTAATATAAACAGAGATACTTTTACTGTTTATACTAAATTATTTAATAATAATAATAATAATAATAATAATAATAATAATAAACGAACCTGTAATTTTAACTCTGAGTCCCAAGAATGTACAGGATGATGATTGACGAAAATAAGAACGGTAATAAAACTCATACACGCGTTTATTGTAAAATATCTTGGAAACAATACACGTTGAATTTCACTAAAAGTGTGACGTGGTAAAGCGAAGTACAGCGATAATCCTGCAAAAAAAAAATAACAACATATTATTTTAGAAAAATGATTTAGCCAAAATTATGTTTTTTCTATATTATTTTTTTGGTTAATTAGGCACATTTTTAGGTATAATAGATATATTGCTATAATTATTGAGTATTAATTGAGCCCTCTTGTCCAGTGTCTTATTCGACTTTCTATATTGAACGTGAACATTTTAAGACCAGGTCCAAGTGAGGCAGCACCATCTACATTAATACTAAAATTTTGGAAAATTTTCAACAGCCTTTTCTTGAAAACAAGATGGTAAAATGCTTTTTCCTTTATAGATAATTGATTATTGGCAAGATATACACCAGCTAAAACTTTTTTTGAGTTAAAATAATAAAAAAAAATTTCATGTCAATAAATTAAATATGAACACTTTTTTCACAAAAACTGTAACAGTACTTTCTCAGAAATTACAATCAAAAATGCAATTTCCATTTGGAAAATTAATAAACGCTAAAAAATACACGACCTAAGATTTACCAATCACGAAAATAAGAAAAAAAAATTTTATTAAATATTTAACATATTGATACTGCTTTACTGATTGTGACAGCCCTTTGGTAGATTATGTATTTCAGGTGGTTAGCAACAGCGCCAATCTCCTCCTTTCGGCAAAACTGCGAAACGTCTGGTGACATATATAACCTGCCAAACGGCTGTCATAATGAGTAAAATATGTTATGTTAAAATACTTTTTTTTTGTTATTTTCGTGATTGGTAAATCTTAGGTCGTGTATTTTTTAGCGTTTATTAATTTTCCAAATGGAAATTGCATTTTTTATTGTAATTTCTGAGAAAGTACTGTTACAGTTTTTGTGAAAAAAGTGCTTATATTTAATTTATTGACATGAAATTTTTTTTATTATTTTAACTCAAAAAAAGTTTTAGCTGGTGTATATCTTGCCAATAATCAATTATCCATAAAGGAAAAAGCATTTTACCTTCTTGTTTTCAAGAAAAGGCTGTTGAAAATTTTCCAAAATTTTAGTTTCAATGTAGATAGCGCTGCCTCACTTGGACCTAGCCTTAAAATGGAACGTGAAAATTTTATTAAGATCCTGAAAAACTTTTTTCAACAAACCATTAGACAAAAAAATTGAAACACTCCTTCGAGAGAACAGAGATTAAGTTTCTGCTTATTAATTACTAACGAGGATACGTATAGAAAGAAAAACTTTTTCCTATGTACTTTTATAATGTTAAAATAATAGTGTAATGAAATAAAAACAATTTTGTGTGGCTCTGATGTAAAAAAAAATTATTGAAAATACCGTTCGGATTTACCCCGGTTTTCCAATTTTCCTGGGTAAATACGAACGGTCTGATATTATTAATAAAATTTTACAGAAGGCAAAAATGAAAAATAGTTTCTGTTCTAGTATTCATAACAAACAATTATAAATAATAAAATGAATTTTTAGCTTCTTTTTCTTCAAATACGAGACAAAATACTGAAAGAGTGTCATCTTTGATTTTCAATTTTTTTTGCAATACTCGTTATCTTTGTTTATGCTGTTGCTAATTAACAAACGAAAAATGGGATAATACTTAGAATCTCTTGAAGAGGATCTGAGGTAAAAATTCTCATATCGAACTTATTTTTAAAAATTTTAATTAAGCTGAAATAATTAGTGTTCGGATTTACCCCTTGTTCGGATTTACCCCGGCTGACCCTACCTAATTGCTTTTTAACGACGTTTAGAGATCAAAAACATTGATAAATAAAAAAAATCATTAAAATGCATTCTTCCTTTTAAAGATCATTTGAGTATCAACTCATCTCTCATTACTTGCTAATAAGTAAATATTTGACCAAAAAAATTTTCGCATAATTTCAAATTGATTTTAAATGAGAAAATGTATTCTATATCTTCCGTTTTTTATTAGGGATTTAAAATCAAAATTTCCTAAACTTGTACTGAATTTATATTTTTCCAAATCAGAAACAAGGGGCCATTCATTAATTACGTAAGGACGATTTTGGCTAATTTTGACCCCCCCTACCCCCATGTAAGGATACATAAGATTTTTCGGACCCCCCCTCCCCCTTCTTACGTAAGTTTTTAACAATATTAATGTAATTAAAAAATTAATTACATCATAATACAAATGGAAAATACTTGGCAAAATCTTACGTAAGATTAGCTTCTACCCCCCACCCCCCCACGTAAGACAATGTAGAGATTTTATAAACCCCCCCTCCCCCTAAGGACCCTTACGTAATTAATGAATGGCCCCCAAAATTGTGTACAATAATTATATGTTTCTCATTATAGAACGAATTAGATTAATTAAATTAAATTTTTTACGTTAGTTAATTATCAGCAATTTAGATTATATCAATATCAATATAGATATAGATAGATATCAATATACTTTTGAATATTTTGCTTTGAAGGCTAATTAGGATTAATTAGAATAATTTATAAATAAATAATAAATTTTTACCAGAGACAAAGGTCATCCAAACTTGTGCTCCTAAATGTACTATAAATGATGATAGATAAATAAGAGATAATAGTGTTGAATGCTGTTGACCAGTTCGTCTATTTTTTGGAAAAAATGCTGATAAAACACATAGAACTGAAAGTATCATAATCAAGTGTGCTAATTGAGCACTAGATACTACAATTCTGAAACAGAAAAAAATACAATTATTATTATACAATTACAATTTGTCAGCGATTTTAAAATATCATTTTTGTTATTTATGCAAAAAAAAAAAAAAAAAATGCTAAATGACAATTAAATCTTTCTAAACACATCTTTTTAAATGTTTTTCACTTACTTTTAAATACTATTTTATTTAAAACATTTTTTAAAAAAAAATTTTAAATTGGTCGAATTCTATAGAAAATTGATTAAAAAATTTGTTTCTAATTTTTAAAATGATTAATCTAATCTTCAAAATTAATCTCATGATGTAAAACGACATTAAAATTACAGAATCCACACATATTTTTCTTCATTTAATTGTTTTTTAATAAAATAGTAATATTTAATAGTGATATATTATATATTTATATAAAATATTATTTTTTTCAACAAATTATTTTAAAATATAAATAATAACTTTCATATTTTTTTATGCTCACTAAATTTGAATTTGTAAAATTTTTCCCACTTATTTAAATTAGTTAAAAAAATTTACAAATCCAAATTTAGATATTTAAGATTTATTTAATATTGTTTGAAGTGTATTAGAAGCTGCATAAAATGTATTTAAAAAAAAAAATATTATCACCGCATCAACTAACGCGTGTTGTTTAATTTTCCAATATTTGAAAGGCAATAATTTTATTCACAGTCGCTTCTTAAATAGTTTGCAACTAAGAAATTTAAAAATACAATTTTTTTGATAAATTTTTAAATTTTAGAAGGGCAAAATTTTTTAAATTTTAGATATACTGATTAAAAAGTAATTTATCTCAAAATGCCATTTGTAGAAATTAAAGTATTCCAGTTCCAATATACTCGGAAATGTACCTACTTGACAATTTTCATCTCAATACTTTGACGTCAAAATTTTATATAACTATATAAATTATTTTTTTTTATTTAATAAGCATGACAAATTTTTATTTAATTTAAAATGTAAAATGTCATATACATTATCAATATGTCTACAAAGAGTAACTTTATAATTGATTCTCAAAACCTTATCAAATAATAAATAATTTCTGTATATATTGTACTGTAGTAAAATTTTGAATAAACAATTATTATTTGATTAAAACTTGTTACGCAGGTATATAATAAACATAAATTATAATCTTCTTCGAAAAATTATTTTGTGAACTTATAAAAATAAAACTTTATAATGTTCAATAAATATTATAATATATATTTTCCAAAAAATATTTAATTAATATTTTTTTGGAATTTTTTGGCAAGGCTAAAATTTTTTCAGACTTGTTTTTTTTTGTTTCAATAATTTGAAAATGTTAAAAAAAGAAGTAGTTTAAAAATAAATTTTTAAAAAATATTATTTTAATTTCTAAAAAAACAATTTTTCTTTGCAATTTTCTTTTTGGTTATTAACTAAAATTTTTTTTGGCAAAGCATCAATGACCTTGGTCAAAAATATATATCCTCTGATTTTCTAAAATATAATTCATTGTCGCATGTATCTCACGAGAGTAAGACAAAATGCAAAATGATTTTTCTTTACTCGTCTGCGAAAGATTAAAAATTTAACAGGCTTATCATTTTTGAAAAATAAAGCGAGATAGTGCAATATCTGCATTATTAAATCTGCAAAGTTTGATTTAAATTTTTGCAAACAATTCCTCTCTGATAAGTTGCATAAAATAGCGCAATTTTATTTGAAACTTTTAATTAAATTTCAATTCCATGTATTTTAAAAGCGAATTTTTAAGAATAATTTAAAAAAAAAAGAAATTGAAAATTTTTCTCAAATACTGTTTTTATAAAATTTGAATCAATTTGCATACTTTGACCATATTCATAAATTTTAAACCAGTCTTAAAATGATTCAGCTAAATGACATAATTCAATTTTAGCTGATAAAAGAGAAATTGAATAGTGATAAAATTATTACATAAAAAAGTGAAAAATTTTTGATTATTAAAAAATAAATTTTAAAAAACAATAGAAATTAAAAGAAATTTCTTTACAAATCCAATATGAATTTAAAATAATTAATAATGAATAAGAAAACTAAAATATAAATTTAAAATTTAAAATTTTTAAATTTTAAATTCAGTCTTAAGGCGGTTTAACTCTTTTACATAACCTCAAATTAAAAATTGGTTTTATCATCAAATAAAATTATATCTAAAATTAATTGTACTAAATTTTCAAAATTTAATGAAATAAATTTTAACTATATTTTTATTTATTGTTAAAAACTTCAAAAAAAAATGTATTAATTGAGAAAAATAAATAAAAGACTCGTCTATTGTTTTAGTTTAAATGACTAATTAAAAAATGTTTAAAAATTAAAAAACATTTTATTAATTTTATTAATTATTGAAAAATGATATTTTTTAAACAAAACTGTCAAAATGAGTTTTAGAATTAAATATAGCTTATTAATATATACACAATGAGAGGGCGTCATTTGTAGTTGATCAACTTTTTTTTATTTTGTTTACTGAAATAATAAACAATAGCTAAATTTTAAAAAAAAATGTTAACAAACAGAAAATTATTTATGCTTTGCTTACGTGATATCTGAACAATACTTTGTTTGAAAAGAGGCTTAACGATATGCTTGATCAAGGTCAAATTGAACAAGCACACAAGACACCCTCGCGCGCGTGTTGTTTCATGAACCGTAACTTTTAAAACTGTAAATTGGATGAATCAGAAAATTAACAAAAAAATATTTTTTTAAAAAATATTTTAGTTATAAATAAATTTGCTAATAATTGAAAAAAAAATTGATAATAAACAAATACGATGCTACCAAAAGTAGGTAAATATAAATAATTTCTATAAATTTTAAATTAAAAAAAAATTTTTCTTTAAATTAAAAAATTCATAGAAATTATTCTAATATGAAAAAAAAATAGATAAAAAAAAAACGTTATTTATACAAAAGAAAATTTTTTTATATCAATTTCTAAATGAATTATTAAATTAATATCCTATAAATTATTCAATTAATTTCTAATGAATTATTCAATTAATTTCTAATGAATTATTCAATTAATTTCTAATGAATTATTTAATTAATTTCTAATAAATTATTCAATCGGTTGTATTTGATCAATTTTGTAAATTGAAATTAAATATTTTTTTTTTATCTATACACCAATAATTCATTAGTGACGGATATATTTTTTTATTTTATTAAATATTTTAAAAACTCTCAATTTATAATGTAGTATAAATTGAGAGTAATTTTATTATTTTTCAAATTTGTAAATTTTATTATTAATCATTTTTTTCATTAATAATATTTTATTTTTTTTATCTGTATGTATATAATTTAATTTTAAAATGCTTTTGTAATTAATATTATTTTCTAAATTCTAATTTTTAGTGCCTAAATAAAGGATATCTAAAAGAAATTTTTTTTTTAATACTTAAACTTTTCACGAAAAGACTGATTAGTAATATTGGTTGAAAATTAATTAATTTATTAAATAAAACACTTTTAGTACATTAATCATAAAAATTGATTATTTAAAGGGGCCCAAGTAGAAATATCCGTAGCTCGCCGTAATTAAACACCGGCATGGTACTGATCCAATACTGGCTGTCGGTATTGACTTTCAGTACTGGCAGTGTACTGACTAATACACCGAATCAGTACTATGTCGGAGGTAAAAAAATATTAAAACCAGTACTGGCAGTACACTGTCATTCACACCGAATCAGTACTATGTCGGTGATAAAAAACATTAAATGAAAAAGTCTTTAAATTATTCCAAAAGGTAGAAAACGATGATTTTTTATTTAAAAAAATGTATATTAATTTCTTTCGAATACTTTCCCTCAAAATTTTGGATGTAATTGTAATGTATTATTATATACCTATATAAAATATATTTATGTTTTTTTAGTTATTTTAGTACTCATTGAAATATGTGCATTAAGTTATTTATCATGCATACAATAACAATAAGTTGAGAATTTTTTTCTAATAGTTTTAAAAATAAAGCAAATGTAATTTTTTCACTGTAATTTTTAAATATTATTAATAATTAAATATTAAATTTAAAAAATTTTTCACCATTCATATTTTACAGTCGTCTTTTATTAACTTATTTTTAATTATGTAATTCATCAATCATTTTTGTCTGTTTTAATATTATTTACGGTAAAAATAATTTATTAAAAATATTTAACTGAAATTGATATCCAGTTTTATTTCATTAAATCTTTGTAAAAATTGAAAAAATTTTGTGAGTTTAAAAAATTTAAGAATAAATTCATTTTATTTTCGTGATCAATAGATAATACAAACTTTGAAATCAAAACTTTTGTATTAGGTGAACTACTTCAAGTCAGCACTTCAAGCCAGCGCGGCTGTGCGGTATGCGTATCTGACTTGCGTTCTTAAGGGTTTAGGGTTCGATCCCCCATGCGTGCGAGATTTTTCGTTCTTAGTTTTAAGTGTTATAAGTACAATATTTGTTCATGTGTAATATCAATTATTAAATAATTATTAAATTAAGTATAAGTGCAAAGTAAAAAAAATTAAATATTATGAATTTAAAAAAATAAAAAAATTTACAACACAAATTATTTTTTGTAAAATAATTTATTAAAAATAAAATAATTTAATTAATATAAATGATAATTATTATTTTAATTATTTATTGTTAATAATATATTTTATATATTCTAAATAACATTAACTATTATTGGCTTCACATTACCTGTTCGTGGTAAAAATGGGAGTAATAAGCTAATAAGGATGAAATTTGCATTGGAAAGCGTGTTTTAGCATTTTGTAAAAAAGTGAGATTTTAAGTCCGGATGAGTACTTTGCCAGTATTATGCCAGTATTATTCTAGTACTACGTTAGTACTGGTGAGCGGGACAAAATCAGTACTGGACAGCGTTACCAGCCAGGGTTGGTCCACTACTGGCCCAGTACGGCAGTCAGTACCGTTATACTGACTGGCAGTGTTGGGTCAGTACTATGCCAGTGGCACATTTCTACTTGGGGGTATACTTAAAAAATATGTATTTTTTACATCTTTAAATATTTTAATAATTTAAATATTATTATTTATATAATAATTTAAGAAATTACAAATTTTTTTTTAATAAGGTAATTATACGTTTTTTTTTATTAAATATTTCCTACTGACTGTTTAAGTTCTAAAAATGATTTTCAGTTTAACGAAAATTAAATTTTATACAAAAAATAATATTTAATGTGAATTCAAAGTTTGGTTGTAATGATCTTTTATTTTAAAATTATACATATATGTAATTGTAAATAGTTTTTAAATATTTTTTTAAATAAAAATATTTTTTAGAATTTAAAATTTATTTTTTAGGATAATAAAAAATAAGTTTTTTGCAAACATTTTGGCAATCCAAAAAAAATATTCCACAGATTATTTTTCAAAAAGTTGTATAAAATATGTAATCTTATAATTGATTAGAAACTTAAAGTATCAATATTTAATAATAATAAAAAATGAATTATAAAATAAAAACTAATTGAAATTAAACACTTTTTGACATAGAAAATTTAAAATATTAACAATTTTACAAAAATCAATAGAACAAATTTTTATGTGTTAATATAAATATATATTACTTTTTAAAGTCATATTGTAAATCTTAATTTTTTTTTTTTTTGATGAGAGAGAATTATTTTAGTTATTAAAATTTCACCAATATAAAGAGAAGAGAAATACATGTAAAAATATGAACGCTTAGAGTATTGAATATGATACAAGGTGTTTGGAAAATGTATTAACATTCTGAGACGTTTAAAATGACATAAAATGCTGCGGTATATATCATGTGAAGAAATCGTAAAATGAGGGCTGTGAATATTTTTTAAAATATTTTAATCACAATAAATGCTATAAAGAATTATAAAATAGATTATTAAATTTAAAAAAAAAAAAGAAAATTTTTTCTCACCTATGTGATTTTGTATGTTTCCATGCTTCAGAAGTGCAAAATTTATTGTACAATGTTCTAAATTTAACGGTGAATTTAAATAAAACATGTTCAGTTGGTAGAAAATTATTAAGTTTTTCATGAAAATCACTTCTCTGTTTTCTCTCTCGTACAATCATTTCATCATGTAACTTTATAAATTTGTCTTTAGCTTTTATTAATTTATCCGGTTTTGATGATTGCTCATTTTTTACATCTTGATAATTTACTTTTAAATTTGTTGGCACTGATGTATCTAATTCACTTCCGGTCAATGTACGTACGCACATGGTTGAAAAATGATTATTTTTTTTTTTTCGATTATTTTAATTTGAAAAATTAAATCACTACGTTATCTGACGACAATGAACTGTCGTCAATCGAGTTACTTTGCGCACTGCTGCTGCCTGATGGTAGAGAAGTGAGAATGATAATCCTAAAGCCACTAAAAGTATACTACTACATACATAAAAAAAACTGTGTGAATGCCGATCAGCCGGCGCTCTGTTTTAAAGGTGAATCCAGAAGTAAGCATACCATCATTTCGCTTCAGTTTTGCACGTAGACACATATTGCGAGATTGATTCCACCTCTAACTCATTGGTTTGGTAGGGAAAGTACAATAAAAAAATATAATTCATTGGAGGGAACAAATTGCTATATATATATATAGATGGCGAACAGAAGAATTAAAAAACAAAAACAATTTAAGACTTTTTTTAAAAACAATTTTTCAAAATTTACTCAAAAAAAAATTATTTTACTCAAAAGGTGCCAAAATTTTGCACAGTGGGTCAAAATGTACTTTTTTTTGTTCTAAATTAGTCTACAGCGATTTTAACTGAATTTTTCAATATTTTATATCTGCATTTATTATTAAATGTAAATATAAAAAAATATAAGGTTTACACTCAGAAAAAAGATTTCTTTGACAATTTTTTCTTTGATAGAAAGAAAATTTATTTGTTTTAAACAAATTATCTTCGTTTCAAGGAAATTTATTCTTTAATTCAAATAAATGTTTCTTTATATATTAATGTTAGAATTTCTTTGATTTAATGCACAAATTTCTTTCATTCCAAGAAGAACTATAAGAAGCTTTTTTTGAAATTAAGAAAATTTTATTTTCAATGAAAGAAAACAAGTCAAAGAAATTGGTTTCTTTAAATCAAAGAAAATCTTTTCTCTGGGTGTAACAAATGGTTTAAACAAATTATTAATATTAATTTCTGAATTTTAGTAGAACTAAGTTCTAACTTAATTTTCATATCAACTTTGTAAATAGATTAAAAAAATAAAATTTCCTTAAAAGTAGCCAAAATTTCACACAGTAGGTCAAAATGTACTTTATTTGTTCTAGATATTAACAGCAGTTTTTTTTTAACGCAATATTTTATGTCTGCATTTATTACTGAAAGTGAACATAAAGAATAAGATTAAATATTTAACCTATAATTTTTATTTCAATTTAATTTTTAATATCTATTGATTTAAGGCCAGGTCCAAGTGAGGCAGCGCCATCTACATTGAAACTAAAATTTTGGAAAATTTTCAACAGCCTTTTCTTGAAAACAAGAAGGTAAAATGCTTTTTCCTTTATGGATAATTGATTATTGGCAAGATATACACCAGCTAAAACTTTTTTTGAGTTAAAATAATAAAAAAAATTTCATGTCAATAAATTAAATATGAGCGCACTTTTTTCACAAAAACTGTAACAGTACTTTCTCAGAAATTACAATCAAAAATGGAATTTCCATTTGGAAAATTAATAAACGCTAAAAAATACACGACCTAAGATTTACCAATCACGAAAATAAGAAAAAAAAATTTTATTAAATATTTAACATATTGATACTGCTTTACTGATTGTGACAGCCCTTTGGTAGATTATGTATTTCAGGTGGTTAGCAACAGCGCCAATCTCCTCCTTTCGGCAAAACTGCGAAACGTCTGGTGACATATATAACCTGCCTAACGGCTGTGTCATAATGAGTAAAATATGTTATGTTAAAATACTTTTTTTTTGTTATTTTCGTGATTGGTAAATCTTAGGTCGTGTATTTTTTAGCGTTTATTAATTTTCCAAATGGAAATTGCATTTTTGATTGTAATTTCTGAGAAAGTACTGTTACAGTTTTTGTGAAAAAAGTGCTCATATTTAATTTATTGACATGAAATTTTTTTTATTATTTTAACTCAAAAAAAGTTTTAGCTGGTGTATATCTTGCCAATAATCAATTATCTATAAAGAAAAAAGCATTTTACCATCTTGTTTTCAAGAAAAGGCTGTTGAAAATTTTCCAAAATTTTAGTTTCAATGTAGATGGCGCTGCCTCACTTGGACCTGGCCTTAACATTAAATTAATTATATTTGTTCAATTGAAAGAATTTTCCCTATATGAAAAAATTTTTACCAACACAAGGAATTGAACTCTACTAATTTTATTGAAAATCACGAATTCAAACCACTGGACTATCATGCATAAATACATATAATTTTTTAAGTTTAATATACAATACATTATAATTTTTAAATTTTTGTTGTGTATAAAGTAATAAATAAATAAATTTTTATATTTTCTTCGTCGATCTAAAAAAAATTTATTTTTCCAAACAAAACTGATGATGACTCATTTCGTACCACAAAAAAATAGATAAAATACGCTTTTCGACTTCCAATGTTATGATTACCTAATTCACTATTAAAATATTGTATAAACGTAATCATACACCTGTTTTCTCATGTATTTACGTAATTTCAATTTTTTTAATTTTTAGTCACGTAGTTAGCAGATATTGTAACTATAACAGCAATTTATTAAAACTATATTTATTATAACAATTTTTTTTTAATTCAATGAAGTTGAATTTTTTTAAGGTACTCGGAATTTTATACACATTTTATTTTTTATAATAACTAATTTATTATTATTATCATCATTTTATTTTTGCACATATTTCGTAAACAATTTTTAGGTTCTCGTAGGAGTTCGAAGTACTAAATTTGGGTATACTTTATTTTTACCCCAAAATGAAGGTACTGGTACCAGTACCGAGTCAGAATTGCACCAGTTTTCAATTTTTATATTAAAAATTCGGTTTAAAACAAATTATTCTCAAAAATTTGAATTAGTAAAAATTTTAACTAATTTGAATTAGTGACTCACTTTTTGGAATTAGTAAAATTTAACTAATGCGAAACTAAAGAATTTTTTTTTTACTATTAATTAGTTAAATTATACTAATTCCAAAGTAAAAAATCAGTCATTAATGTAAATTTAGTAAAATTTTTACCAATCCGAATTTAGAGATTATATTTGAAAAAAAATTGTTCAAAAATTGATTTATCAGATTTTATTTGTTTTTCATGTCAGTGACACTATACGATATAAGCTAAGGGGGACACGTGTGAGTTTCAAATCAACATTATGCTAATCATTTATAACAACTTATAATATTAAACTATACATTATACTTTTCATGTTAATAAAAAATTTATTTAATTACAATAAATAAATAGTAAAATAAAATTTGAAATTGACTATGTTTTGACTATTATTGACTATGTTTTTAGTTTTAATTATAATATAAGAAAGGAAATTTACTTTATTCAAATAATCAGTTACATTACTATTATTATATCAAATAAATCTTCTGTCTAAATCTGAATTAGTAAAAAAGTTTACTAATTTGAATTAGTGACTCATTTTTTGCTTATCAATTAGTAAAATTTTACTAATTGTTAGTAAAAGTTACTAATAATTAGTAAAATTTTACTAATTGAGAAGCAAAAAGTGAGTCACTAATTCAAATTAGTAAACATTTTTACTAATTCAGATTTAGAGAGTTTGGAGGAGGAAGAAATATTTATTTGATTGCATTAAATAATTATTATTTGAGTTAATTGAATGGTATTTGTTTGAAATAAAAAAAATATTGGTTCAAATAGAGTTTATTTAATTAAAAAAAAAAATTATTCGGTTCAAGTAGATATTTATTTGATAATAGTCGATTATTTGAATCAAAAATATATTTGAATAGCATACGCAAATTAATTTAAATTGAGATTTTTTCATTTCTTCATTTTTATATCAAAAATAATTTGTATAATTATAAATAAGTAGTAAATGACTTTACCGACAAGGCGACATCTGTTAGATGGCATTTGAACTCTCGGTTTAAGTTCTATGTCATGATAATTTTTTTATTTTTGCCAGTTGTTAGGGGTTCTCATAACACGTCAAGATTCATGTGCAAAATATTTCATTTATTAGACGAAAATTGTCAAACAAAAATTGTTATAAAAAACAAAAGAAACAAAAAAAAATTATAATTTATACATTATTTTAGTTATTCAAATAATAAAAATAATAATAATAATAATAATGAACACAAAATACCAGCAAATCAAATCAATTTTCATAAATTCTTCCGCCATATTGGTTCAGCCATTTTTAATTTTATATATATATGTGATTATATTTTTAAAATCGTGTCAAAAAATCTCTAAACATTAATTTTCTATGATTTTAAAAATTTTAATAGTTAAAAGGAATATTTGCGTTTTTAAAACCGTTTTTTATTTTATATTATTATTATTATTAAGTTTAATTAATTAATTATAAAATTGGTTAACAGTAAAGATTCCTACACATATAAAAGACCTTGGCTTTTTTTAATTTGAAAAAACACATTAAATTATCAAATATTAAATATAACAATAATTACAATAAATTTAAATCGGAAAAAAAGTTCTCATTATAAGAGGATTTTTCGTCTTTTGCAGCAAAATTTTCCTCTTATATATATGGACACTAAATTATTCCTGTCTAGTTGAGAGAGGATTTTCCTCTTTTATACCATATTTTTTCAAACGTCACTTTATAAACAGGTAAAATGTTCGCGTGAAAAACAAAAGATAAGGTTAAAAAAGCTATTTTTTTTTACTAAAAAATTGTTTCATTTTTGAGATGAATAATTTCAATTTTAGAAAAAAAAAATCTTTCAAAAGATAAATAATTAAAAGTTTTATCTTTTAATTAAATTATTCTTAAATAAAGAAAAAGAATCCTTTTTTTTGGAATGAAAATAAAATGTGAAATTAATTTTTGAACGGAATATTATTCATCTCATTTTGAGAGATATTATTTTTTTCGCTGTATATAGACTTCATTTTAATGGCAGTTAATTTTTTGCACCATTTTTTTGTATTTTTCTTCTTATAATATGTCATCTCGGCTAAAAATACTAAAATACTCACTGTAACTCCAATTATTAGGGTTTGAGAAATTAATACAATGCCAGAAAAATCGAGTTGTCTATCATCAGTTTCTTTTTGATAATATTTCATTTCTTTTGAAAAATTCTTTATTAAGAATGGTAATTCTCCAGAATTTGATAGACGAATTATGCTAAAAAAAACAATTTAAATGTTTTGGAATTTGTTG